GATCTGCGACTTTCTTTCTGAGAGGAGACAACGGGTCCTATAACCAGGGTTCACTTTCCGAGTGGGAGATACTTACCTGCGGCCTCCCACAAGGCACTGTTTTGGCTCCCATCATCTTCTTAGCGATGATCAACAGCGCCGCTGTAAAGACCCGATCCACCAATTGGAAATTTGTTGACGATCTCTCAATGATTGAGAGCCGACTAACACGCGAACCCTCACTCCTACAACATGATCTCAACGACCTGGAACAGTGGACTGCGAACAGTTACATGAAGTTACATCCAAAGAAATGCAAGGCCATGCATGTGTACTTTACAAAAACCCCCCCTCCTCTCCCAGCCTTATACATTGACGGCCATGCACTTCAAGAAGTCTCTGTAGCCAAGCTGTTAGGGGTCATGGTGCAATCTGACCTCAAATGGAACACGCACGTCAACCACATCACCAGTCAAAGCAGCAGACGTCTCTTCCTCCTACGACACCTGAAAAGGTTCAGACTACCAGTGTCTGACCTGGTGACTGTGTACGTCAGCTACGTACGTCCCCTGTGTGAATACGCCTGCCCTGTCTGGGGCCCCGGACTGACTTCCACCCAGATAGCCCAGATAGAGAACATCCAGCGCCGGGCATGTCGTATCATACTTGGCAAAGACTACTCCCGGTACTCGGATGCATGCAGTCTCCTAGGTCTACCTTCACTCCAGCAAAGACGTCAACACCTGATCCTGAAGTTCGGACGCGGTCTGATGGAGTCCCCGACATTCAGACAGTGGCTGCCTCCTACTCGAGGAGAGACCAGCGGTAGAGACACTAGATCTAGCTACAAACTGAACACTGTCACTGCCAGAACTGAGAGATTTAAAAACAGTGCAATACCGCATATCGTGCGACTACTGAATGGGGACTGAGATTGCCATTTTATTGTCCAAAGACTTTTAATGCAACCTGTACATGTGTGCAAATCTGATATTTTAAACGAATTAGCTTTTAACGTATTTTATATTAATAATAATGACGGATAATGATTTTAATGTGTGATAACTTTTTATTAATCAACCAATGATAAATATGTAATTGTCAGAGCAATTCAGGTCCCAATTACACGGGACCTGCCATTCTGTACAAATGAATATGTGACAAATAAACCATTAATTATCACCCTGCAGTGAATTCTACAAACATCATCATTGGTATCTGGCAAGATGCATGTGAATTGCTTAATTGTGATATACCATCTGGTAGTGTAAAAACAAATGCAAAACAAGAGCTATAACTTCAAACTATTACAAAGCAATTCTGCAATAATACCCAACAATAGCTGCCCACCCATCCTATATAAAGCCATCTTCTTCTGTCATCCTCAACTGAAGTGAAGCATGATTTTTTCAAGTACACATATGTACCTACTAGTGCAATGTGGCTTCGCTATGGCTCACATATTTAGCCAAGAACACAGATTACTGTTACAGCCCTATGCTATTACTCCCCTGTGTTCTGACACCCTATGTTCTGACAAATCACATTAAGTGCAGTTTTACAACAGAACAACTAAACAGAATATATAACATCTCATCAAAAGGACAATCACAATACATCCGTGATGTCCATTTGCATGCATTGACCCAGTTGCAAGGCTGCGCGTGCTATGTTAACGTTGTGAAGCTTTCCAGATCCTTGTCTAAACGTTCAGGTCCAGCTTCTTGGGCTGCTCCCATGTGAAGTCGGGGTCGTCCATCCTGCCGAAGTGCCCGTAACAGGCGGTTTTCTCATAGATGGGGCGCTGCAGTCCCAGCTCCCTGTTATTGGAATACAAAATAAACTTAGAGAGGTAACATTTGCAAAGCAAATGCATAATGTTTACCTTCACATATGGTCTGCTCTGTTAATTCCTACTCAAACTCATTCCTATAATGTGACAGGAGTCTAAATCCCTCCTGCTATAAAATTGCAACATGATGTAACCCATCACTAGTTACCATGGTGACAGACGTCTGGTTCAGGTCATTGACCGTATTTGTTTGGGGAAGAAGAAGAGGAAGAAACTGAGCAAAAACAATATATTTTCCTTCAGTAAACATAATAAGATGTAAAAACATAGGAAGGACTCCTTTGCATCTAACCAAACTGAAGTCTGTTGTCTGTACATGTATTTTGAAGCTCCTTGGTTTAATAATAATATTAACATTTTTCTCACCAATAGCTAGGCTATACTGTTTGATGTGCTTTTGTTCTAGCTATGTGAGCAAAATATACTTGCAGACTGTGATTTCAAGAAAAAACCTAGTGGTAATATAATTGTTAAAACATTGATCAATCTTAGCACTCAACAAATAGCATGTGATAATTATGTGCCATCTATATCATGATACATGTACATGTAGTTGTCAAATTGTAGTAGAAATGAGCCATGTTGAAGATTTTTAAGATGATGTTTAAAGTAGGGTTTGCGGAAAAACCTGTCCACCTTTCAGGTGAAATATCTCGCCTGAAAGGTGGACAGATGTTTCTGCAAACCCGTTTAAAGTCTTAAAACATTATCAGCCTCACCTGACAATGACACCAGGGCGCAGATCAAAGTTCTTGTTGATGATTTTGAGCAGACGTGCGTCCGTCATGCTGCCCTGACAGGTGCCGTACGAATTGACGTGCACCGACAGTGGATGGGAGATGCCGATGGCGTAAGACACCTGTCATCAGTACAAACAAGCATGGATTAAGGGACTGTTCAGATATGTGAACTGAAGTAACATTCTAGTGCTATTTTATATATTTCATATGACTGTTTTGAAGTGGACTTGACTCTACAAAGGCTATCATACTCATAGCATGCACTGTGATACAGGGCCATGCACCAGGGTCTGGAAATAACTTGTAAAGAAGTGTCTATCTATCTGTGTTACAGTCACTGATGTTCAACTTCAAGACTACACTGATGCTGTACATGAATTAAGTTACGGAGACAGTGTTGGACCCTTACCTGCACCAGCACACGTTTGCACAGGCCTGCCTTCACCAGGGACTTGGCCACCCAACGTGCGGCATACCCGGCAGAACGGTCCACCTTGGAGAAGTCCTTGCCAGAGAAGGCACCTCCCCCGTGGGCGCCCCACCCACCGTAGGTGTCCACGATGATCTTACGTCCTGTCAGACCAGCGTCAGCCTAAGGATAAAGTCATATGAACAGTGTGAAACACAATAAGAATCGTTTGTGTGTGGTTTTATTTGAGCTTTTTGGCTGTGTTATAGAAAATGTACTATAAAATGTCATCAGAATGTAGAGCAAGCAACCAATAGGCATGCAGCATTCCTCTATTCTTTTTGCTGATTGGCTCGTCGAACGTCTCACAGAATCCGAAGCATTACCATTGGACCCAGCGTGTCATTTTACAACGTTTACACCTGTCTCAACATGATTGCAATAGCGTGTCAGGGGAGACGCCTAGCGGCCAGTTTGATATGATTGCAGCATAGGTGTAAGGTGGTTGCAGTACTATCATAGTTAACTAGGCGGCGCTTTTGAAGCATGAGGAAGACAGGTGTGATGTAATACTAGTACGAAGCAAACGATTAGAATGGACACTTTCCAAGGGACGTGACGGTTCAGAAAACGTTTGTTATGTTAAAACATATTGTTTTTGCTCAGTTTCCTCTTCTTCTTCCGTTCCAAACACTGACTTCTGACCTGGTCAAGCAGACTGTCTCTCACAATGGTAACTGGTGTTAGGTTACATCATGTTGCAATTTTATAGTAGGAGGGATTTAGACTTCTGTCACCATATATATGAATGTGTTTGAGTAAGAATTAACGGAGCAGACCATATGCGAAGGTGAACATTATGCATTTGCTTTGCAAATGTTACCTTTCTAGTTCGTTTATTAATACTAGTGCGAAGCAAACGATTTGAGTGGACACTTTCCAAGGGACGTGACGGTTCAGAAAACGTTTGTTATGTTAAAAACATATTGTTTTTGCTCAGTTTCCTCTTCTTCTTCCGTTCCAAACTTCAAAGTAATTCAGTTGGTTATTTACCTGTGGTCCCCCACGCTGGAACTTGCCAGAAGGCTGCAGGTGGTAGATGGTCTTGTCGTCCAGGTAGCGCGAGTCGATGACGGCCTTCACCACCTTCTCCTTCAGCTGCTGGCGAAGGTCATCCAAGGTCACGACGTCATCGGTCTGCACCGACATGACCACCGTGTGCACCCGGATCGGCACGCACGCGCCCCCGCTCATTCTGTACTCAACGGTCACCTGTCCAATCGTAACAAAAAATGTCAGCTCATTTCTTGATAATATTTCACTTCTGAAACTTTCAGACACATCTTACAACAGAGGATTTGAATAGAAATCTATATTTGAACATATGCTAATATATACCTGTCGGAAAATTGCATTGGAAGGAATTAGAGCTCAGATGTATTCATAACAAGAATACAAAATCTCAGAACCACTTTTCGGTTTACAAATGAAAGTGAAAGTGATTTCGAACCAATTTAGCTAATTGAAGAGCTTCCACTGGTCGTGACAGAGAAAACAGACGCTATGTACAGTATTTACTGGTCCATTGTACCTCGGAAATTCCCCCAGCTCTTTTCAACAAGCACAATGAACAGTGGACCACGGTTAACGTCCCATCCGAAGGACTGCGACCCTAAACAGTAGCGTGCATGTCGGGCGAGCGACATCAGCCGGGATTCGAACTCCCAACCTCTTAGTCCAGAGGCAGGATCGCAACCACTGGACTAAATATGATAATTTACATCCTAACGAGTCTGCAGCGCGAGGCTACAGATGAGACCGTACGTCTCTCACCTGTGTCTTAGTGTCCGGACGCAGCCAGGAGAGGGTGCCATCCCGGCGTAGTTCCGCCAGCTTACGGTTGAGTCCGTGGGCCAGCTTGCAGGTGAGAGGCATGCACTCGTCGGTCTCGTTAGTGGCGTAGCCGAACATCAGACCCTGCAGGTGGGAAAAGTCGTCAAAATACAAAGCGCAGTGTTGCAGAAACAAGAAGAAAGCAACAGGGATGCAGGCCATAGAATATTTTCGTTAATACGAGGCTTTATATAATTATCCAGGCCACAAAAGTTTGTAATGCAACCAGTGCAATGTGGCTTCTAAACGGCTCGCGTATTTAGCCAAGTACAACGGATCACCCCTTCTCTTCTCGGTAAGTGTTTTAGGTTCTATCGACCAGTAGATTGAAGTAGACCAGTAGAATGACCACTGCATGAAGCAGACCTTTAAATTAAGTGTGCGTTTAGATTCTGTTTTCTTCACTCTGTAAAGAATTCAGCGGATGTCAACACCACATAAATACCCTGGGTGCCAAACTAATATCGGGCCGTTAGCCGTTTTCCTTCGGCAGCCAAGAGCCCTTCGCCGGCGGGGGAGTTGAGCCCGAGGGTAATTTGACTGGCCCTAGAACTAGACTCGTTGTTGGGCGAGCCAAACTATCCCCGGGCTAGACTCCCCCGAAGCGGTAATTTTAGACAGGCGGGCGAAGTGCTCTTGGCTGCCGAAGGGAACAGCTAGCGGCCCGAAACGAGTTTGGCACCCAGGGTCCCACATAAAATGGTGTACAGTTGTAGTTCCTGTACCTGGTCCCCGGCTCCGATGTCCTCGGGCCGCCGCTTCTCGTGCACGCCCTGCGCGATGTCAGGGGACTGCTGTTCCACGGCCTGGATCACTGCGCAGGTCTTGTAGTCAAACCCTGCGTTTTTAAAATACGATTGTCATGTAGTCGTTTGAATGAATTCAGTGACTGCAACATTTGGCCAAGTACCCTATCCCAACTCGGGCTGGGCAATCTCCAGGAAAAGGTTAAAGGCATGGGCAGAATTTTTTAAAAAGTCGGAGCAAACGCCCAGAGGGACGTGTAGCGAGCCTCAAATAGACGTTGAAAAAGAGGGTGGGTCGGCGGGTTGCTTTTAAATTCGCTTCCCCCACTGAGACGCCGACAGCCCACAACCCAACTAGAATAGTAAAAAATAAAAAAAAGCGGGGTCCGATTTCAGTCCTGAAAGAAATAGGCTCGGTAGGTAGTGATCATGATATCGATGTTTTGCATAGATTTCAAATTCGGCTGATGTGATTAAAAAAATACAGTTCTTTCAACATTGTAAAACTGAGCTGCATTTAATAATAGGGACAGGCTAGGGTCAATAAGTCTAGAAATCATAAAATAAGCAATTATGCAGATTTTCACCAAAAAAAACAGGAAGTTAAGATAAAAAAACTCACCCTTGTCGCTGTGGTCGTAGCCGACACGCTGGATGACGTCACGCACCACAGTCTGATAGTCGATGTTAGCTGTGGTGTTCACTTCACCAAACACCATGATGTACCCTGTCTTGGTACAGGCCTCTGGAATATGAAAAAAAATGTTGTTTTAGTTCCGTGTACAGGGGTTTTGTTTTTTGATGTGCTTGTCTGATTGTTTGTTTGTTTGTTCGTTTGTTTGTCTGTTTATTTGCTTGTGTGTCCGTAGTTATTTAAATGTTGTAGAGTCACAGGAAGTGAGGGGGGCGGATTTGTGTATTTTGTAACCGCAGAATGACAAGAAGGTCGAATTGGGTCCGGAGGTCGACCATAATCTCCGTCAACCTGCTAGCTGAGAGGACGTGAGGTCGAATTAGAGGTCAAAATGAGAGGTTATGAAAGTTCAGTATGCATAGAATCAGCGAAAAATTTACAATTATAATGAAACCAGAAATTCACATGCAGCTCTAAATATATGAACTTGGCAAATCTTCGGCCTGTTGTCTATTTATAGTTAACCAATGGACCGAATCGTAGTAACACCACTGAATATATATGATAATAAACTCTTGTCAGCCTCAGTTTCTGCAAATTGTGATAGAAGTTTACAAAACAAAAGCCCAGAAAAAAATAGATTTTTCTTCTTTTTCAGCAACAATGCCATTATATTGATACGCACCGCAGGCGACTTTGGCGTTGGGGTCCTTTTTCAGGTGTGCGTCCAGAATGGCATCGCTGATCTGGTCACACAGCTTGTCTGAAATGTAGAAAAGACATAAATTCCGACGCTGTCGACTGCACATCTAGCCTCTACCAGGCACCGAAGATCGCTGGAAAAATAGTAGAAATTTGCAAAATAAAGGGAATAGTATACCAGGGGAGTTAGCCGGGCAGAGAGGGCACATTGTGCGGCAAATGTTGTTTCTCTATTTGGCCAATTTCTACTCTTTCCAGCCGCCTCCCGAAGCCTTGTAGAGGCTATGCACATCAACGATCAACTCAACATGTAATATCATTCCATTTGACACCACCACTGACAACACCTTGTTATTTTCAAATAATTATTCCCAAGGGAACTCCTCTTTGTCGTGTGTCAACAACTGTAAAATGTTTGACGTAGTTTTCAACTTTATTTTGCAGACAGGTCGTTATAATTAAGAATTGTAGAAATGAACAAAAAAAAGTTAAATTGAACTGTCTGTCCCACGATGTCTTTTCTGATTGAAGCTTCACTGCAAGTTTAAAAATGTGTAAACTGCAAGTTTAAAACGAAGTTCGTACGTGTACGTAAACACGGCAAAGTGAAAGTAAAGCGGCAAGATCAAAGCGCTTCCGTAGGGCTTCTCAGTAGACCCTATCCTTTATTCCATCTATTGTACGTGTGTACTGCCGTGTAGCGATGGTGTATTGTGCATACGTGGCGTTAGTTTCGGTCGTTGGATAGATGCCAGCCCAGGACGTAACATCTACCCTGATACCAGGGGGGACAGGGTATAAAGTGTAATTTACGGAATACAGTACAATTTTACGGAATACAGTACAATGGTATTAGTATACAGTGCAATTTTACGGAATACAGTGCAATCGTACTAGTACACAGTGCAAGTTTACTAGTATACAGTGAGTGCAATTTTACTAGTAAAATTGCACTGTATACTAATACGATTACACTGTATTCCGTAAAATTGCACTGTATACTCTGGCACCCCTGAGCCCAGGAAGTAACATCTACCCTGAGCAAATACGCTTGCAGGCTACCAAACAAATACAAAACAAATACAACCTCCGAGCCCGGCCCAAATTAGCCGTGAGTCATGAAAAATACGAAGGTCATAGGACAAATGGATTCCAAAACCTTCATTCTTATTCCTAGGTCATTGTGGGGTTTTTTTCGCACACTTTTGGCCTGTCATAGCGTGTCTTCGTCAGCTAAGGCATGGTGGATAGAATTCCAACTGACACGTACGTACGAGTATGTACATTTGATCGTGAACTGTGAAAAGTCACGGACATTGAGACTGGCCGAATGCCCTGAACATTTCTACTATGTAACCGCTGAATTACTGCAGAGGTTACTTAACAAAACCGTGATATTATTATACGAACACGGTGTTAAAATATGCTTACGAAGTGGGGTCGTGTAGCGTAGCAGCAGAGTGCTCGACTCGGAACCAAGAGGTCCTGGGTTCGAGCCCTGACATTTCCCTGGGAAAGGCACTTTACACGACTTTCGTCACTTCACTCAGATGAAAATGAGTATTGTATTGTCCCCTGTGTGACGGCATTGATATGAGTTGAAAAAAAATGAGTGTGCCGTCACCACGTCTTGTGATTACATGTTGGAATATATAAAAAATATGCTTACATATTTTCCCTTATTTATGTATCACGTACGTAAAAATGTTCATTCTGTCACATGGTCTGTCAGTGGGTGTGGTTAAGTTCTTATTTTTCCCGTTTTTCAGTTGACGAAGATCCAAAGTTTCCCTTGTGGCGCTTGCTAAACATGACCACTACACCGTGCCCTATTAGTGTTACATGGTGCTGGATCAACAACAGCAGTGTAAACAACTCTAACGGAGGGTCGTAAAGGGTTTACAAGATCAAGGTTAGTTTTACAGACATCTTTAAATGGAATTTCACGTACTTTATAGCGAAGACATTGTATAAAATGTCCTAGCTTATAGTGAGGAATCGGGTGGACAAGTCTGCCAACAACATGTGAATGATAATACCGGATGTTGCTTTGTTTTGATCCAACACCAAGCCACACTTGATGATAGAATCAACAGACGAGAGCGCTGGCAAAAGTAAAGGTCCTGGTACACTGGGGTTAAGCGGTGGCTCATATTTTTTTCAACAGATTATTACTATTAAAATACACACAAAATTACACGGGGTTTGTTAGGTCTCAGAACGCGGGGTTTAACCGCAAATTTGTTCTCCAAACACGCACAGAAAATTGTGCCGCACGTTGAAAAGCCAGTACAAACCGCCCTAAACCGGTCAGACCTAACCGCACTTTATACCCCCATTCCACTTGACGGCGCTCTCTCTGCGACCTGTCTGCAATATAACCATAAGGACATCATTTATCATTTGCTATTGTACGAAATTCGTCATGCGAATTTTTTGGGGGGCTTGGCCACACACATCCTGCAAAAGTTCCGCTGTCTTGTAACCAAAAACTTGGTCTGAGATCTTTATCATCGGTCTGTTCTGTCACCACTTGCTTTTGCATCAAAATCACAGTACGACAAACGTAACTGTGCCGCCACAAAAAAAAAAAAAAAAGCCGAGCATGCACTGAGAAAGCACAAATTAAGGACAAAAATTAAAAAGAGAGAGATACTGTAGAGTCGTATGATCACGTAAAATAAAATGGAGTGGTTCATTATCATAGGCGTGGTGAATTACATGTACAATGTATAATCATATTTTTGCTGCGCCATCCCTACTCAGTTTCGGTAAGGCCAGTCTCATGACAATTGCACCATGTCTAGTGTCCGTTGAAACCTAGTCTCTACCAGACTAACTACGGTGGCTATACATAGGAGAATTTGTCATGTCAGGGGAGTTTGGCCGCCTTGTAGGTTTGAATGGCCGCGCTTTTCGTAGGGAAAGAAACTGCCGGACTCCCCTGGCCAATTTTACTCTTTTTGCCGAATTCTACGATCCGTATTCCCGTAGAAAGGCCTGGTGGAGGCTAGTTGAAACCAATGACTGACTGATTTACATTTGTATGCAGCACTCGATATTCTAGCTACAGTCTAGACTTGGCAAGGTGAAATGTTTTTTTTCCGCTACGCACGCACAGTCTACCCAAGCCAGGTGAGAAGAACGTCCTAGATCACCTGAGCGCCTTGCCGTACGTCAACAACTTACCATTTCTGAAAATATTACCCCAAATTAGAATTCAGTCACATTCCGAAAGACATGATTGTATAGTTTGGACAGATCGAGAGTAAATCAATAAAAGTGTGTGGAAAAAAAGAAAAATAAAATAGCAAGATTCTGGAGAGCTCACCCGGGTGTCCCTCCCCGACTGATTCAGAAGTGAAGAGGAAGGTGTCTTGGTTTGCCATCTTCTTCGATTCGACGCGTCTTCCTGTGTGAACCACAAATATGAGACGGCGAAAGAAATTTACCTTAGATTCTTATAACTCTCACATTTATACCTTACGCCAAGTTTCGAAAGCTTAATGATATTCATAAAACAACTGCGCGTGCGCCAGTGTGGACCAATGGCACGCTGGCAACTCAGGGTGATTACTGAGAAACCAAGCCCCAAACTATACTTTACCCGATTGCTCACAAAAAGTCCCAAGTTCATTTCTTTATGCTTCGAATTCCTACATTTCAGCGATGGTTTGTTATATTTTCCATAACTGAAATTATATGAACGTTGAACAATTCTATATACATGGCCTGTGTGCAGAGAGATTTTTTTTGTGAATTTGACAGTACATTTCCAATTGCGTCATTGAATTTGAAATTAACTGTCGAAACTAACGAAAAGCATCACGGTCGGACAAGGGCAAAATGGGAGTGGCCGGATGAGGTTGAAATTGTATCGGGAGGTATTGTGAAAGGGTTGCTTCGGAAAATTGACGAAAAAAAACGACGGATGATTTAAAAATATTATATGAACTGTTGCCACGATCAATAAAAAGTTTATTTAGAACCACAATTAGCAAATATAGTTGCTATTCTTCCTGTAGTGCTGCATTAATAACATACAAAATATAGATACACTGACAATTTATAGTGAACAAGTAACATGAGAGATAACTTGATATGAGGTCCATACACCAAATATAAAATGATCATTGTACTCTTGTAACTTCAGATTCGTATTCTGTAAAGAAAGCGTTTTTTCTGATCATTTTTGTGCTGCATTCGTAATGCATACGTCAATGACCGAGAGATCGACAATACACAACTTTGTAACGGGCAAGTTGAAACCTGTGCGAGTCAAATGATCAAGCACGGACATGATGGGGCTTCTCAGAACACCCAGCAAAAGTGAAAGCATTTGCACGCTAAGAACACTTGAAGTGTTTTTAAGTTCAAAATCTTGGGAGCGGACAATAGGACGAAGAATTTGACCATATATGGACACAAAAAATACCAAAATCAACACCGAAACCAGGGTGACGTAGTTTCCATCACATCACGAGATGGAAACTGGATAAATTATAAGTATGACTCACTCTAGAAAAATGTCTGTCGAAACTGTATAATGAGCATCTTCTTCAGCCAATGGCAGTGTTCTAACTTAAAATGATGAGCATCTGCTTCAGCCAATGGCAGCGCGCTAAATCAAAAGGGGCGGAGTCTGTCGATAACCAGTACGATACAACGGGCGACCCGAACGGTTCTCCTTCATAGAGACTGCTAGCGACTTATAATATATACTCTTACTGTGTAGATATCGCACCGTAGTGAAACGAGAAAGGCTGCATCAGTACTGCTACAATAAGTAAGAAGTCAACAATGGCTGACACCGCACAGGTAAGTTCTCATTTTCTAACCGTCATCTTTTTTTGCCATTTTGTAAGTCAGGCACGGCTCGAGTATGTAGACTACACAGTTGGTACTTCAAACATGCTAACAAAATTACAAAATCGCAAAAAAAAACACATGCTTTGGGGGCTGTCAAAATTATGCGTTTCAAAAATATTTTGCCGTTCTTTTCATGCGTTCCAGATATCGTACTTTTAGGTCCTATAGCCGCTAGAAGCTACATATTGCTCAGGACAATGTTAAGCGATAGGCTATTAAGTGATATTGCATCAGCCAAATGCTTACTACGCAGTATACCGCTAGAGGTACTTTCCAAGCAAAGCAGGTTTAGTTAGGTTTCGGGTTATTTTTTTTACGTCTTTTATGCGTTTTTATATATCCGGTTTTCCTTTTTGTACCGTATATATTAACGGTATTACAACTGCCAATTTAATGTCTTGCCCATCTAAGACTTTCTTGTAGCCACAAAATATTTCCTCGGAGATTACGTTATAATAAACGTTAACTTTATGTAATATTCTCCCCACCCTAGGGCACCCCGACCGAGGGCCCGGTGACACCTGAGGAGAGGACCGAGGCGTTAGCTTCCTTTACCGAGGGCAAGAGTGCGTGTCCCAAACCGGTGATACGCGAACACCCCATGTAAGCCCTCCTTGTTTTTCTTTCTCTGGGAAAAACGCTTTATAAATAAGGAAGTCATGCCAGAAAGCAAAATAGAATTAAGTAAAAAAGAAAAAAGAAATTGTCAAGAAAGAGACAGGCAGGGTCTTGTCACATCTATATCAACATATGTTGTGGCCCATTATTTTTACTGCGCCACCCCTATACTTTCAGTTTCGGTGAGGCTAATCTAATTTCAAGCTGCATCATGTCTAGTGTCGGTAGTGAAACCAAAGACTTAGAACTGAGTTACATTTGTATGCAGCGCAGTACTCAATAGCCATAGTCTAGATTTGGCGAGGTTCCAAACATAGAATGTGATTCGGATCACCAACAATGGCTATAGGATAGCGTTTTGAAAAAAATGAAAACAAAACACAATCCGTATAATGTTACCGTTTCATATTTAGATTAATAGAATTATGCAATGCAGGTGTATTTTTATTTAGTCTCTAAGTTGAAATACAGCAAGGCAATATCAGTAAGGTTAAAGTGATATTATGTAAGATTTTTGCGCCAAAACTGAAAATACAAATACATTTTGTAATTGAAATTTTCTCATCTAGATTGCCATTTTCGATAACTTTCAACATATCATGAGCGTCGCTATTTCGCCTAGTTGAAATTCTACATAATATAGCTTTAACGTTATGTATCTGTGGGGAGGGAATTTTGCGTTATAGCTTAAGCTAAGTGAAATGTTCTTTCCGCTACGCACGTACAGTCTACCCAAACCAGGTGAGAAGAACGTCCTGATCACCAGCGCCTTGCCGTACGTCAACAACGTACCTCACCTGGGCAACATCATCGGCTGCGTGCTGAGCGCTGACGTCTTCTCACGGTGAGGATCATGGCGTCGACGTCACGTCACGTCTGTTTTAAAACACGCCAGTAGAACGTACAACGCCCGATCGAAACCCGAGATATATTCTGCGTACATCCTCTCGAGGCAGGGGTGCTTCCTTACTTGTACGGCAGCAAGGCTAACTAACGTACCTGCCGCGGGATAGCTCTACCGTGGGAGAATACATATAGCACTTCGACAGAACGTCCGAATTTGCGTATTTAAGGGGGCCCGCATGCCCTTTTCCGTAGAGCGTAATCGGCTGTTTTAATTCCACGTAGAGCGTAGACGGACCACTCTAATTCAACGTAGAGCGTAATTGGTGCATTTTCCGTTTTAATTCTACGTACTGCGTTGTAGCCACTTGGAATTTATCGTAAAGCGTAATCAAGTGTTCCCACAATTTAGCGTATAGCGTTGTCGGGACCCCCCATGCAGGCCCCCATTTAAGAATGGCATCCTGCCCAATGTTGCATCGGGAAAGATATCGATTGCATCACAGGGAATATTCTGATGTAAGAGGGCCTGCATGGGGGAGGGGGTAGTGGTGGCAAAATTTTCGACGCCGATTACGAATTACGTTTAAGTGACAGAGGCGACTACGACTTTACGCTTTTCGGCAAATGTGATATTGCGTTGATTTTGGGGAAGGCTGCCTACGGATTACAAAGACTAAAAAGGCCTGATACGCCCTACAAAAAACGACATGCAGGCCCCCATGTAACGTTGACCGAACTAGCCCGCAACGAAACCGGTGGGGAAAAAAACAGGTTTCGCGCGGGCGCAGTACGTTCACTTAATGCTGACGTGCTCATCTGTTTATACCACCAGGCGTTGAATGAAAAATTACGTTTGACTCTCTGCCAATTTGTTAATTTCGGTGCGCCACAAACACGGCCGAAGCTTGTCGACCAGCTTTTAATACCCAAGTGCTTATATCTATGCGTGTTGGGAGCTGGGAGTGTGCATGGGGTTTTACATATCGTATTATACGTCTACTGTTTCAAAATTTTAGGACGTGACTTGCGAACTTGAATACATGTACTAGTGATTTGCAAGCCTCGGGTCAGAAGTTACCGTTACCTATACGTACGGGGGAACTGCAAAGGGGTTTACAGAACTTCGATGTACTGTTTCAAAATGTTACGTGTTCAGAGACGTGACTTCAAGCCAGATTTGAAGCCGCTTTCGCTATCGTTTTCATGTGGTCACATGTGGTTTAGCATATGAATCACTCCACACGAAGATGATTGAGCAACAGACCATATTGTACTTCACACAACGAAGAACAAGAAATTGGAAATTTCAGATTTTCGGGAAGCATTTTGGTCGACCTCCGGGAAGTGTTTTGGGTTTCGTGAATGTATTGGAGCTGTGGGGTCGTGTGGCATGACCGCGGCAAAGCGTTCGGCTCGGAACCAATAGGTCCCGGGTTCGAACCCTGCTAGCCTCCTTCGCAGACTTGTTGGGCGACGGTCGGCGATATATTTTTTTTCTGTGAGCGACGCGAGTAATATGTCGCGGAGGGACAATTTTGCTGCCGAGGGAGTTTTTGCCGTGGAGAGAGTTCGAGGCGCGAAACCCTCTCCCCACGGCAAAAACTCCCTCGGCAGCAACATCGTCCCTCCGGGGCATATTACTCGCGTCGCTCACAGAAAAATAACGCCGACATCCAACAAGTCTGCGGAGGCTAGAACTGTGCCATACCACCGATCTTATGCCCTTGGGGAAAGGTACTTTTTTTAATACACGAATTTCCTGGATGGAGGCCTGACAAACTGCGACGAAAATGCAGCAAAATCTTCATCTAGTTCAAGGTGGCTGCCTGAAAAATGAAAGAAATGAATGAATGAATTAATGAATGAATTAATGAATTGTAATTCACTATATGGTATAATTGAATGAATGAATTAATCAACCCTGGCCGAATACCCACCCCAGGTTCTGTATCTGTATCTGTATAGCCGGTATAACCGCTCTTCGGCGTGACACACCAGCTTCGCAGGCACGCGGCGCGGCGGCAGCTGGCTATATTACACCGATCGACTTGTTACATCTAACCCTTGAACATCTAATCCTAAACATTGTTTAAAACTATCTAATGACAATGCCCCTGCTGTACTTGGTGACAGTGAGTTCCACTCTGCGATAGTTCTAGGAAAGAAATGAATTCTTGAACACCTCAATCCTTGGTTGATAACTCTGGTACTTGAAGGCATGGCAATCCCTTGTTCTCTTCTGGGCTGGTATTAGGTTCTGCCGCCTGCGCGGGTGGAACTCGCTGTACATCTGCGGGACGGACGAGTACGGGACGGCCACCGAGACGCGAGCCCTGGAGGAGGGCCTGACCCCGCAGCAGATCTGTGACAAGTACCACGCCCTGCACGCCGATATCTACCGATGGTTCAACATCGACTTCGACTTCTTCGGCAGGACAACCACGCCCCAGCAGACCGAGTGAGTATCTGTATCTGTGTAGCCGGTATAACCGCCCTTCGGCGTAACACACCAGCTTCTGTATCTGTATAGCCAGTATAACCGCCCTTCGGCGTAACACACCAGCTTCTGTATCTGTATAGCCAGTATAACCGCCCTTCGGCGTAACACACCAGCTTCTGTATCTGTGTAGGCGGTATAACCGCCCTTCGGCGTAACACGCCAGCTTCATAGGCACACGGCAGGGCGACAGCTAGCTACTAGTACTAGTATATCACACCGAACGACTTGTTACACTCTTTCCACATTCAATTGCAGGAGTTGTTTAAAGCTTGATGATGCCCCAACTGTGCTTGGTGGCAACGAGATACACTCTATGATAGTTCTGGGGAAATACGAGTTTTTGAACACCTCAATTTTTGGGTGATAACTCTGATATATATTTGAAGGCATCATCATACTGTTGATTGTTCTTTTCTGGACGTTTGACTGTGTTTCCAGGATTGCCCAGGATATCTTCTGGCGTCTGCACCAGCGGGATCACCTGCTGACTGACACCGTGGACCAGCTTCTGTGTGAGAAGTGTGACAGGTCAGGCCGACTTTCTCACGGCTCACTGCACAAAAAGTGGGATTTAACAATGGAGATAAATGGTTTCTTTGGGCACTTAAATCTACATGCACAAGCTAGGTACTAAATTAACCATTAATGGTGTCAGAAGTGGGATCCTAAGTTACACACAACCACAATGAAATTCACCTATCACGTTATTGTTTAGGCAACTATTCCTAGACGTACGTGTCAGACTTGGGACGTAATCACATAAGACATCAAATAACGTACCTTGGGTTAGATATATGCAGGGCTTACCTCACAAAAAGCGCAAGTTAAATTGGAAATGACCACACGCATTGTAGACCAGGGTGATCCGTAACTGTGAGTATTGGTGCCGCCAAGCTGCAATTGCTTTTCAAAGTGTCTCAATCTATTTACTAATCTATCAATGCAATACGTAGCACTTGATAGTCATCAGTAAGATATGCTGGGCAGCAATCAGTTCATGTTATCACAATGTAGTCCTTCCTAATGTTACCGGGGTACAAGTGTAACCTTGTCCCCAAATGTACTTGAATTTGAAGACATTGCAAAGGGGTCTTCGTCTAAAAATGTTTGTGATGCAAAGGTACTGACCTCTACAGCCTTACATGTGATGACAAGCGTTTTGTTGCCACTTGTAGGTTTCTGGCGGACCGCTTTGTCGAGGGAACCTGTCCCCTGTGCAACTACGAGGACGCCCGCGGAGATCAGTGTGACAAGTGCGGCAAACTCATCGTCGCCACTGAACTCAAGGTACTGTATAATGTGTATAACTGTTACAGGAAGAAAGATACATCGTAGCTTTTGGCATCCCTTCCAATCTATGTACTAGCTATAGTCACTTTCCCTTTAATTTTATTTTATTGAATTACTAGTAAGTTAGTAATATGGTCCGTCATGAACATTTAGTATGTTCCAAAAAGTATGTAAGAAGTGATAGGACCTCTTCCTCCAACAGCCCATAGACTGAGCATACCCACTGATCGGCGATACTTTCGCAATTCTAGCATACAATGTTTGGCAGCATTAAGCGTGTATTTGATTCCATAACGAGATACAACATGGTGTCAGAAGTGGGATCCTAACCTACGCCTAATGGATAAGACAAAGTTCCATATTGTTAGTATTATAGCTATAGTATAGAACCTTGTAATCGCCTCAGGTCAACAATGGCTTTTTAATTATCACAAAGTATGATCATAATAACAATGCTCATAATTTGATGATGATGATTCTTGAGATTTCCGTATTTTGGCTACCAACGTTTTTCTCTCTCCTGACAGAAACCGAGATGTAAGATTTGCAGCGCCTCTCCTGTGGTGAAGACATCAACCCACCTTTTCCTCAACCTGCCGCAGGTACAACAGTTTTCTGATTTCTTTCTAGATTCCAGGTATGGAAGTATTGTTTTGGGTGGCTGAGCTGTGGGTTTGTTTGTCTGCTTGTCCAGACGGAGTAGGCTGGCTTGGGGGAGATTGACGGGCAGAACGATGTAGATCAAAAGGTCAGGCACAAGAAATGGGGTGAAGTCAAAAACTCAAAATACTTCTTGGACGTCTGACTCTGAAATCTCCAATTTCTTGTTAAACTGGAATGAATTTGAATTAACATGTTGCATTGACTTAACTTTCAGGACTTTAAGGGTGGTGGATAGCATGAAATACACACAGGAAGTTAGATTGCTAAGGACTAACGGACGGAAATGTCGCATTCTCACAGATAGAGCCTAAACTGAACGGATGGCTGGAAGAGATTCTTCCCAACGATTCCTGGTCGTCCAATGCCCGTGTCATCACTCGCACCTGGCTGCGTGACGGCCTGAAACCTCGCTGTATCACGCGAGATCTCCACTGGGGCACTCCAGTACCCCTGAAGGGCTTCACCGAGAAGGTACTCAGTACATTTTTCTTTATATTCCAACATCTAATCACAAGACGTGGTGACGGCACACTCAAGTTTTTGCAACTTACATTACATTGTATATTAATGCCGGCACTAACACAGGGGACAATACAATACTCATTTTCACCTGAGCGAAGTGAGGAAAGTCGTGTAAAGTGCCTTTCCCAAGGGCACAAGATTGGTGGCATGTCAGGACTGGAACCCGGGATCTCTTGGTTCCGAGTCGAGCGCTCTGCCGCTATGCCACACGACCCCACTTACTCAGTACATTTAACCAAATTGAAATGTGAATGTTGTACATTAATGGCCGAAGAGTGACTACCTAGAGATTGTTTATAAGGATATTCTTGATTTTGAATTTGGCAAAAAATGTGTTCTTCTATCCTCAAGGTGTTTTACGTGTGGTTCGACGCTCCGATTGGCTACCTGTCCATCACGGCCAATTACACCGAACGATGGGACAAGTGGTGGAAAAATCCAGATGAGGTACGAAAGGAAATTTTTGCTCTTTGGTGATAGTCATTTAGGCTTTATTAACTAATGTTCAACTTGGTGTGCAGGCAAGCTGGACCCTCTGTGGCCGGCCAACTCCCCTGGCCAATGATATATATCAATGTCCCACTTAGCCGATTTTAATTCTACTAATTTTATTCAGCCTGCAAAGGAGTCTGGTGGAGACTAGGTAAACAAAGCTCTAGTTGAGAGAACTTTTTGTGTTGGGCCAAAAGTGTTAACTTTAAACATGTAACTACCAACACAAATGAACTTTCATGCTGCTAACAGTGTATTTGAATTTCCTTACAGGTGATCCTGTACAACTTCATGGCCAAGGACAATGTTCCCTTCCACAGTGTGGTGTTCCCCTGCTCCCTGCTGGGTGCTGAGGACAACTACACCCTGGTCAATCACCTACAGGCTACTGGTATGTTAAATTAACTTCAGTCCCAGTATATTAAACTTCAGTATCCTGTTAAGTTAAACGTTCTTCTTTAAAAGGTGACAAGTCAAACATTTCAAGGATCAAGGAACATGGTAGCATTCAAAAAGCGCAATAACCAGTTGACAGTGGATTTAGCACCAAGGCTATAGACCAGGGGTTGCTGTCAAACATTGTTCACACAATCCTAACTGTCCATTACAATTAGCAGTTCGACCAATGATCTATCGTGGAGTTGAATTCATTGCCATCAAGCACAGTTGGGGCATCAGCACTAGCTGTTAACAACTCCTGCAATTAAATGTGCAAAGATTGGTGGGTGTAACAGGTTTGGTGTCATGTATAGCCAGTTGCCGCTGCCCCACATGCCTGTGAAGCTGGAGTGTTATAATGGTGGAGGGCGGTTATACCGGCAATACTGATGCAGATGAAAGATGAGTTAAGCGGTTCAACCAATGAGAGTGGCAGCAAAATGCATGTTCTCATGTTGCATCTCTAGGTTAGGATGAAGGTGGGCAAGGTTATGGAATGAGCCTATTGTTGTCTGTTTAGAGTTTCTCAACTATGAGGATGGGAAGTTCTCCAAGAGCCGTGGGATTGGGGTGTTTGGGGATGATGCCAAGGACACGTCCATCCCGGCAGACATCTGGCGTTTCTACCTGCTGTATGTCCGTCCTGAAAGCCAGGTCAGCCTTTCTTTTCATTTGATTTATTCTTTGAATCAGGCACAGGGCCCATATTAAAAACAACAAGACAATACACTTTACTATACATTGACTAGCATAAAAGCATGCTGGTGGAAGAACTAGCCTACAGTAGTAGGGCCAGTGCAGGCTTAATGAGAAAACCTCAGAGTGGCATAGCAGATGGATTATGCGTTTTCAGACGCAAAGAGGCATGTCACAAAAGAGTGTGCTTGCTAGCCAAAGAGTACGCTGCCTGGCGTCGAAGGTATCAACCCGAAGGTTCGCAAAGAGTGCACTATCACTGGTGCTCCTAGGCTGGGACATCAACACTTTAAGGCTGTCGTGGTATTGACAAGTCACTCTGAGTCTTTCTGGGAGATCTTTTCATCAATCTGACAATGTTAAAGTTACTTTTTCATAGGTGGGGTACTAAGGATATGGCAGTTTTGCTTTTTCTGGTGAGGTAGTGCTACATAGTAGGCTAAGGGGTGGCATACATGTAAAATGGATATATGTTTTAAATTTGAGATTGCTGCATAGTTTCATACATGAACTTCATCATCAACAGAGTGACTTAGAAACGTAACACGATTTGCTTTTGACTTCAGGACACCACCTTCAGCTGGGAGGATCTGATGGTGAAACACAACTCTGAACTCCTCAACAACCTGGGGAACTTCATCTACAGGTGGGAAATACACATAATTTGCCAATGGTAACAGTGGTACTCCTACTCCCCCTAACGGGCATAAAGAAAATTGCAACAAACCAACCTGTGTCAGTCCCAGTTGCAATACTGGCTATGAATTTCAATGTAGAAACATTTGTGACTTCTGTTTCTGACAACATGAAAATAGAAGAAACCTTGTGAGGACTCACTGACTGATTATCTTGATTTTTTTTTGTATTTTATTGTACAATGATGCTCATAATCTATTACATTGTGTAGCAATTTGTTATGTTTACCGAAGGAAAACATATTGTTTTTACTCAGTTTCTTCCTAGTCTTCTGTTTCAAACACTAACCTCTGACCTCACTCAGGCCAATGACATGATTTGTTGACGTCTGTCACCATGGTGACTGGTGTTGGGTTACATAATGTTGCAATTTCATATGGTCTGCTCTACTCCTGTCACCATATACTAGTAGTACATGTATGTGAATAGTAAAAATTAACAGGGCAGACCATGTCTGAAGGTAAACATTATGCATTTGCTTTGCAAATGTTACGTCTCCAGTTTATCTTTAATATCCAGAGCCCTGACTTTTGTGGTCAACAACTTCCATGGAACCATCCCTGCCATGGAGCTCGGGGAATCTGACACAGAGATGCTGGCTCAGGTCAACAGGGAACTGCAGCTGTACAACTTTAACATGGAGAAAGTCAGGTAGGCAGATGAGTTGTCTGTGTCGCATACAGTGTCGCATACTAGTACCAGGTACCGCTACAGCACTGAGCGTACAGGTGCAAACTAACATCAGTGTACTGACAGTGAATACCCAGACTTACATATTGTTCTTGCCACAATGATGAAAATTTAGCACAGTGTCTGAAAAAGATCATTCAAAAAGAACACTGAACAACAGTATAAAAAAAACACTGAACAGGAAATTGAAATTATTGGGTACGTAATGGTCTTCTTGTTCAACTTTACCAACTTCAAGTACAGAACCTGTGTGTTGTGCTGTATGGTGGTTTTGTATTTTATGCAATAAAGATTCAGAGAAATGCAATCCTTACTGCCTTCCTTGCACTGCAGACTGCGTGAAGGTCTGACGACCATCCTGAACATCTCTCGCCTGGGGAACCAGTACATCCAGGCCAACAAACCATGGGTGCTGCTCAAGGGCACAGAACAGGACAGGTAGGGCCAATTAGAATTTAACTTCAGTTTGGAGAGAACCATTGTTTATATACATGTGCAAGGACACAGAACAGGACAGTTAGGACCAAATAAGAACTCAATGGACGTAATAGTGGGTACCAAGTATTGTTTTGAGTGTTCAAGCTGTGCTTTTGTGTGTGTTTTTCTGGACAGAGTACAACTGTGCATTCACAACATGTGGGTGGGGGAAGATCATCAGACAAGTTCAGACACAGGAAACGGGTGAACTTGAGGGTAGGTTTATAGCACATGGGTTGGGAAGAGTGACAGGCAAAATGGCAGATCAAAAGATCAGACACAGGAAATGGGGTGAAGTTGAAGTTCCCATAATCCCCAAAATACTTTTAATTCTGAAAGCCTAAAATTTCTCATCTCAGTTTGAAAACAGTCATTGGTTAATAATAAATGTACAAAAAGACAGAACAGGAGAGATGGGATAAAATTGTATTTACCTGTTGAAATTCACAGAGTTACAGTGGTGTACCAGTGAGTTGCAAAAAATTTAATATGTTTTCAGAGCCCGAGCAGGTACGGTGGTTGGTCTGTGTGCCAACGTGGCGTGTCTGCTGTCTGTGCTGCTCCAGCCCTACATGCCTGACATCAGCACACAGATACAGGAACACCTGGCTGCACCTGCCGGGGTCAACGTCCTGGTGGACAAACTGGTGTGCCACCTGGAGCCTGGCCACAAGATCGGACAGGTAAGGTCTGAGTTGGAAAACTTTTGGGTATAGTCTGTTTAACAACTTGCAATAAAAGAACGAAAAAAGAACCTAGGTGGCAAGGGGTATTTTTTTCCTTCATGTTAGGCCACACCAATTTAATTTCTTGGTTAACGGATTTTTCTAGAAAAATAATGGAGCGGGCGGGCGAAAAATTAAAATAAAAAACAGGCCTAGGCATCCTATTATGGCCCAAAATGGTACGATAGGAGCCATGAAGTCAACATACCAGGCTGGTTCAAAATTTAAACAATGAATTTTGAACTTTTAATGATACTACTGCATTGAAAGATGGACTGACTGTAACAAGTAGTAAGAAAAGGACTGTTTTCAACTGTTCAGGGCAAAATATGAGCATTTTGCAGTTGATTCTGAATTTTTATTTTTATTTGCAAATCAGAAAAAAATGAAGCGGCGAATCCGTTAACCAAGAAATCAAATTGGTGTGGCCTTACTTTGTTTTTTAAGGATTGGTCGGAAAACCAAATGCTTAATATAAAAATCCACCCAAGAACAAAACATTGCATCATACAATGTCATAAAATACAATATACATGTAATAAAATAACAATACAAAAAAGAAATTTGGTTGAGTCCACTTTGGGTAAGTCCAGTTCCTTGCGTTGGAAATTACAATTTAAATTTCCTTCATAATACAATAAAGATAATAAAAAGTTCAAAACAGTAAACAGAAAACTTTACAGGCCAGTTTGATCTCAAAAACTTGTTAGTCACCTGTTACGTCAATGCTTTCACAAATTTGGTAAATCTTCATAAACAAGTGAATAATAAAGAGCATCTCGTTTACGAAAAATGTATCTTAGAGCAAGAAGTAAGTCGGAGACTGTATACTACGTAGTACCTTAAGCAAGACAGTCAATTTGTTGGTATGTTGCAGTGGGATATACTTGTATAGCTGACTGTATATTTGAATGACTCAGAGCCTTTCCTTCCCCAAACCACAGCCCAAGCCACTGTTTGAGAAGCTGGAAGCATCCTTGGTCCAGGACTTGAAGAAGAAGTTTGCTGGTCGACAGAAGGAGTGATGACCTGACACCACCTAACAGGCAATACCGGTACTGCACCACAGGAAAGCTCTATAGGAGACTTATTATTGCTTATAGCTAAAGCTAGTGTTGTTCAAGGAAGAGTATCCTATTGTAATGCATGTACAACATGTAAGACTGAAAAGCTTGACTGTCTGTTCATTCTAAATTAAATGCCTACATGTATTAAGTGACCATCCCAAGTGTCATAATATTGAAGCAAGACATATATGTAGAACACAATTTCTGAAAAATTTGACAAAATGTCATTACACACCTAACAGTAATTCTATGAAAACTGCACCAAGTTATGCTTCAACAGATATTACATGTACTACATGTTTCAACAAATGATATTACATGTTTCAATAAACGATATTATGTTTCAACAAATATTACATCTCAACAGATGAGATTATGTTTCAACATGTATTACTATGTTTCAACAGATATTATGTTTTAATAAACTAAAAATGATTACGTTTGAAGATGTATCATATGTACATGTATGTCAAACTATATGAATTCCTACACGTTTCTTTCAATAGCAGTCCCCTTAGCAACAGTGCTGTCCTTTTGTGACGATTGTTCCCAAATTAGTTACCAAACACAAGCTTCAACAAGACTAGATAAAGCCATCAAATGATAGTAAGAGCCCATCAAATAAACACAAAAAATGTAACAGTCTCTATTAGAAAGTAGAAACGTATGTCCAACCGTAAAACCTTGTATACTGATCTTCCTCTCTGTAAGATTTAATTGTAATCCTTGCAAGAAATAGAAACAGGCCTTTTTCATGCTTATCAAACTGAATATTAAGAATCCTGCTATGTTGTAAGCCATAATTACAGATGCCTCAATATAATCAAAATGCTCATATAAGCTTTGCTACTGAAATTAGTACTTAAAAATAAACTTAGACACCTAAAAACAGAAATCTACTTTGTCTTGTCTTTCTTCAGAAACAAGCACACGAGACATGAGGTTTAACATATTCTGAGCATTTTATATTCCAACATTGGCAGGGCAATTTTCCAACCAATGCCATTCTTTCCTTGGGAAATGTTCTACACAGGTCTATTGAATGTTGTACAGTACGAGAAAATAATTTTTTAGGCATTTTTGTCTGTATTATGTATCAATGTAAAGCTATATGACACAGAATGATTCCATGGTATCATATGTACCAACACTGATTTGTATATTCATTCAAGTATGGCCTGAACTCACAACATACACAAACATGTACAAATGTAGACTTTCCAAACTTTGTAAGCGTATTTCCTGTATCCTCACAAACCATTGCCACTGTAAGTCTCAAAACTTTTGTGGCTTTCTTTTCACAGTTTTTGCTTAAAAATTTACACCGAACACGTACGTTGCAGTTATATAGTGAGCCTGGCATATATTTTGTGCGTGCAAAAATATGGCACCAAATCTGGCCTTACGTTAAAAAAAAACAGTAAGTAGTTGAATTGAAGTAATGGCCATGTGGAAATGCACCAATACTAAATGGCCTAAATGTAATGTTCTGCATCTAACTTTAACTGTTCAGAAAATAAACTAAAAGGGCAGCTTTTTTAAACTGGAGTCCCAAAAAATTTTGAGCACTAGACAAAGTTATTGAAAATGCAATGTATGTCTTCCACAATCTCCCACAAGAAATTCTTGGTCCAACACCATGGAATATTCAAAACCTACATTTTAAACTTAGTACATATAACCTTTTTCCTGCTAAAGTAGCCATTTGGCACCAATTCTGAATTGGTTATGGGGTAATGCTTAGGAAAAAGGTCAAATCTATGCATACACTCAACATAGATGAAGTACATGTAAGCAATGTCTGTTGTTGACACAGCATATATTATATGAGCAACATATCTGCATAGTAAAATACACTCTGCAATTACATGTACATGTATTATAGTTAGTACATACAACTACATAAGACTTTTTTAATCAAAGACTTAATAGCAGAATCTTATATTTGAAATTGGAAATTGCTAACTTTTGCTTTAGAATTCTAAAAAATGTGCATTCTTGAAAAAGAAGTGATTGTATAGTACAAAAATGTATGGATGATAAACTTATTTTGCTGTGATACTCAGTTTTATCAAATGATGAAAACAAAATACACATACAACAATGATACATGTACATGATACTCAGTAAACAACATATGTCATGGAGCAACACTCAACTTGTCTGTAAATTTTAAGGTAACAATTTTTTCTCACATATGTTCAGAAAAATCTGGCAATAAGGTTGAAGTTGAAGTGCATAAAAGTCATGGCTCAAAATCTTTTTTCTACACCAGACAAATTTTACCTGAACCACTCAGAATTTAGGAAGTATGGATTATGGGCTATAAACTGTTCAAAAACCATTGACATTGTATTTCTTTTATGCTTCATGTTTTGTAACATTCAATGGCAAATAAAAATCCACATACACCCACATTTATACATAAACCCTGTATCTGGATTGGTACAGGTTAGGTGCAGGTAGACATCAGAAATACCTGCACAGCTCCAATTTTACCTGCACTAATCTGCATATACCCAGTATATGGACAAGTACAGTTTAGGTGCAGGTAGTCATCAGAAATACCTGCACTAACCTGCATATACATGTACCCAGTACATGGACCAGTGCAGGTTAGGTGCAGGTAGACATCAGAAATACCTGCACAGGTCCAATTTTACCTGCACTAACATGCACATACCCAGTACATGGACCAGTGCAGGTTAGGTGCAGGTAGACATCAGAAATACCTGCACAGCTCCAATTTTACCTGCACTAATCTGCATATACCCAGTATATGGACAAGTACAGTTTAGGTGCAGGTAGTCATCAGAAATACCTGCACAGCTCCAATTTTACCTGCACTAACCTGCATATACATGTACCCAGTACATGGACCAGTGCAGGTTAGGTGCAGGTAGACATCAGAAATACCTGCACAGGTCCAATTTTACCTGCACTAACATGCACATACCCAGTACATGGACCAGTGCAGGTTAGGTGCAGGTAGACATCAGAAATACCTGCACAGCTCCAATTTCACCTGCACTAACATGCACATACCCAGTACATGGACCAGTACAGGTTAGGCGCAGGTAGACTAACCTCAGTAACCTGTATATGGTGTTTTTTCAAGCACCAGAAGTGCATAATTATACACCCTGAAACTGTTTTGTAATACATTTAGAAGCTTCATGTAAGCTGAATAAAACAGTAAGTATAATTTGCTCACTATAACATTGTGTAGTTATTAATCATTGTAGTTTCAAGGATGCTTTGTAGTGTATGACTTTTGTTTTCCTTTGAAAGGTATTATCTTCTGTTACTGTACTCTGGCATACTAGTATCTATATCTACAGTACAGATCAAAAATAACTTCCCATGTGCACACGTGCAAATCACCATCAAAAGTCATTTATTGACTGTGTGCAAAAGCCGTGCACTTTTAGTTTAACATGTGTTCATTTCTAGTGTAAAATGCATGTAGAAGTTGGTGTAATCATGTGGTTGAATTATACCTCCTATTGCAGATACACGGGCGAAGAGGATTAAGTCAAGTAAGTCATTGCAGATACATGTACTTAGTACATGCGGTTTACACAGCTTTTGCATAGCCTTCTTTGCAGACTTCTCAGCTGGTGGCGTCAATTTTTTTTTGAGCAACGCGAGTTATATGCAAAGGATGGTTTCGCTGTCAAGGGACTTTACCAGGAAAGACGGTTTCGCCCCCTAAAGCAGAGTCCCTCGGCAGCAAAACTGTCCTTCCTCGGCATTTTACTCACCTTGCCCCCCCCCCAAAAATATTAACACTGCCTGAGAAGTCTGCGCAGGAGGCTAGCTTTTGCTAGTTTTACCCACCTGTTACACATACAACTTTTACATGACTTTCAATCGCGACTTAGATGCGACTTACACAACTTTTGTAAGAGAAATAAATGAGACAAAACCCTGTGTAAAATGCATTGGTAAGGAAAGTTCATCAAGATCTGTACTATATGTGCAGCAAGCCTCATATAACTATAGCTGGAGACACAAAAGGGTTGAATATTTTGTAATTGTACACTTGTGCTAGGGTCACTGTTGCTGGTCACCCTCAGCTTCTGCACCCCCCTGGTTTTCTGCTTCATCCCCCCCTCCGACCCTAACCCCCTCCCCCCAGCGGAAGCCACCTGGCCTGTCCTCTTCTGGAAGGGGGGCGTAGTTGGGGTCTTCAGGGGGAGCATCAAATATCCATTTCCTAAAGATGAAAAGAAGTTTTCCTGTAAGATCACCAATTCATTGACTCTTTTGTCCCTAACTTTTCTAACTACAATGTACTGTATAGTCCTACGGACTCCTACCTAATATTGGCATTAGGAATTAAAAACTTATTTTTGCAGGAATTTAATTTTGTGATAGAAGGGGAAATGTTTTGGATATGCCTCACCATGGTAACTGGTGTTGGGTTACATATTGTTGCAATTTTATAGTAGGAGGGATTTATACTCCTGATTGACCATATATAAGAATGTATTTGAGTAAGAATTAACAGAGCAGACCATATGCGAAGGTAAACATTATGCATTTGCTTTGCAAATGCTACCTTTCCAGTTGTAGATGATATTGTAGCTGGCATGGATGCTGTGTACAAAATACTTTTTGAACCAGGTTGCCCAGTGGGCAACCTACAGCAAAAATTAGGTTGCCCATCAGAATTTTAGGTTGCCCCACCTAGAAGTTACTACTTTCCTCAAATTAAGTAATGTTACATACATAAGCCTTTGACAATATTTCTAACAGCCTTTAGTTAACTGATACTTGTAACAGCCTTTAATACCTAAAGCATCTGCCGGATACAGTGGTGCAATGATTTGGGGGGGGGGCTTCTTAAAATTCAGGTAGCACACTGGGCCACCATAGTAGGTTCAAAAATAGGTTGCCCCAAGTAAAATTTGGTTGCCCGGGGCAACTGGGCAACCAGATATTTTGCACACTTTGAAGTGATTAACAGTGTTTAAATGAGCTATATAGTAATTTGCTAATGACAAGTAGCTCCCTAGGATTACAAAGATTTGAGAACACAACTCAAAATATGGTTGATACATACAAAATCCCTGGTGTCTTGAGGATCTTAAAGCCTCCTGGCTGTTCTGGGAAGACATCTTCAAGGAAGTAGTAAATATGGCCAACAGCAATTCCTGAGAAACACAGCATTGAGACAAATGAACATCATCCATGTTTTAACAGCAAAGATGTCATTAAAAATTACCTGCACAAGACAAATTTTACCTAGCCTGGGTACCATCCCCAGTAGTATATTCGCAAACTCTATAACTGGGTCTGGACTTGCACACATATAAAACGATTGGTCATGACGTCACGTAATGAGCTAGCCCAAGCAGCGGGGCTTCATTTGATTGGCTGAGCCTCAGAGGCGACGGCCAATGGCGCGCCTGCATTATTCAAGTGATGTTTGTTGTTTTGTAAACACAGATCTTCGCGCGAGTGTTCCTTTTCTCGGTGCGTTCTTTTTTTTACCGGTAGGACGCCCAAAACATCACGAACGAAATTATTCAATGCATCTTTTTTGCTCATTTTTGAGCGACGATATTCTGTCTAAATCGTCCAAAACGGACGTGATTGCGAGGTCAACATCAACCTCCGTGAGCTGAGCGGCTTGTGCGTCAGCCATGTTGATGATTTATCGCGGAAAGACTGACTACGGCTGTATCATGTGCGCTTTAGCGTTCGGTTCGCCGTCAGACATGTTGATGATAAGGCGTTCGGACGTTCGAACCGACGCTAACGTCGCCGTTCGGACGTCCGAACGGCCCTTACCTAATATGTACATACCCCAAAAAGGGCTTAGACGAGTAGGACCAATCAGCGCGCTCGTTCAAAATCTGAACGAATATTTAGACTCCAGACGCTACATATGTGTGCAAGTCCAGACCCAGTTATAGAGTTTGCGAATATACTACTGGGGATGGTACCCAGGCTAAATTTTACCTGCATCACTCAGGATTTAGGAAGTTATAAATGGATCATACTGACACTGTTCAGAATCCATTGCCATTTGTTAGATCTTACTTTCTTAGATCCATTTGTTACAGAAGACCATACAAAAGTCACTGTACTGTTTTTAATCCAACTTGTACATACTGTTCAACCAAGTAAAACTTGCATGAACAAACTTCTATTTTCAATATCAATGTTGAAAAATGATTGTACAATGTTTCATCACTCAGGTGTCATACTCATAGAGCTAGAAAAGGTTGATCAGTTAAAAAAATTCATGTTCCTTACAGGGATAAAAAAAAAGACTAGGGTTGACATTTTTTCTATGGTCAGTTGGGAAACAGGAAACACATAATTTTTTCCTATGCCTAACCTGCATGTGCAGGTGGCATTTCGAGCCCTGCAAACTAATTTGAATCCTAGTATTTATAGCAATAGTCCGTACCTACCCAGGCTCGAAATTAACGGTGTCCTGATGGCCACTGGCTACTAAAATTTTGGCCGGGACAACTATAAAGACACTTTGGGACATTTTTGTCAGCCATTCGTTTACCCAGGGTAAAACATCCTTGGTTTACCCAAGGAGCTTTCATCACATTGTAGAATGTCCTGGCTTTTGGCTGCAGAAAAGTCCCCTCAAATTTCCTGTCTACGCTGCAATTATTGTGCGCCTGGGAGTCAGAACGTAAGCAAAATAAAGTTGAAGTTATACAATACTTCCAAAAAAACAGGTTGGGAAAGTTCATCCTCACTTTGGGACAGTTGAAATTTATTTTAGGGGCAGTGCTGGGACAATAGGAAGAAAAGTTAATTCCGAGGCCTGCTTACCTAACAAGTCGACCACCACAGAGTTCCCCAGTAGTAAGGAGAAGCCGAACAGCACCCAGGGCAGGTAGGGTGCCTGGAAGTTGAGCAGGCCGAAGAAGTTCATCCTGACGTACGGGTTCCTTCTACTCCACACGTACACCAGCATGATGGTGAAGGCCTGGCCCAGGAACACCAGGTTCACAAAGTACGCAAAGATCTAGGGAAGAGAAAGGCAGATAGTCTGTTAGTTGACTTGGATTAAATAGTAATAGTATGACTCGCAAACATCTTCTACCGGTATCTAAAAAACCCTACACTGTCATGAGGGTATATGTTCGTCTATAGTTAATGTTAAATATTCTATTCAGAAGTCTATATATTCATACAAATTTGAACATTCAAAGCTCATTATTCCAAACAAATTGCAAGTCTTCCATCATGGTGTTCACAGTTCAGCACCAAGGACAGGTGTGTTTGTCTATATGCATGTGTGTGTGTCAGTGTGTATATCTGTTTGTGTTAAGTCAACACAACACAATTCGGATATAAAGATTAATTGATTGAATTCATTTTTGGGAACAGGAACCCAGAAATGTATGTAAATTTTGACAAAATGAAGTAGAATGCCAGCAAAACCAAATTATAAACATTAGTGCCTCTCTTCAGAGATTGAACCTGAAATTCCATAAATAGCTACCAAACTAATCTTAGTAACAATACCCAATACATGACATATCCGTATATGAAAATCTATGACTGCATTACTGAACGACTGTAAATAATTAAAAAAAAGTGCACCATCATAAGAGTTCCTCCAAACAGGAACATGAAGAAAAAGTCTGCTGTCCGCCCACGGAAGGACCCCTCTTCTAGCATCCGGCAGTACCGGTATCTGTGGTCTGTGGTTAAGGAATTTCCACCCATTCAACAACTACTGGACTATACTACAGGCCTTGTAAACTGGGAGAAAATAAAAGATCACCAAGAAATAATAAATGTATTAATCAACTTGTTATGATTTATCAGGTAAAACATTTGCTGATGGAAGGATACGTGAATATCATATTAAATAAGAAGTTGAATCCTATTGTGCCGAAGAAGAGAAAGTTTGTGACGAGCCGCCATACCTGAGGAGAAAGGAAAAGAAACCTTTAAATTTGGCATGATTGTGGGTCAACAAGACACAAACAAAACACATCTGGATTATTATGGTATCATGGATATGGTCTAAACAAGAACTGTTACAATATGAAAAATTTAAACTGTTCTCTATTCTCATAAATTTGACTCACCGGAATTTTCGACTGAATCACTCAGTCTTTCTCAGCTATCTGACCCCAAATGCTGTGGAGTGTGGACACGTGATTTTTCCCACGTGTGACGTCAGCAAAGGGTCAAAGGTTGTCTGAAGTCGATATCGCCCCCGTCCCGGTTGAGCGATGGTTGAAGTGCCCTGATGTATATGGCAACCTCTGACAACCTTTGCTGACATCACACATGGGAAAAATCAGGTGTCCACAGCATTTGGGTAAGATACTAGTAGCTGAGGAAGACTGAGTGATTCAGTCGAAAATTCCGGTGAGTCAAATTTATGAGTTGGAGAACAGTTTAAATTTTTCATAATGTAATTTACCAACTCAGATGAACTTTCATGCTGATGTAAGAACTGTTACAAGTTGGGGCTTTCACCTTTGACCTTGCACATACTAGTATGCAGTTCAAACTACAGCTTATTTTCCAATCTAGCAAAGGAATTCTATGTGAAAGATTCACACTGTAAAGTTATGGTCAACTTACCTGGTACTGGTAGAGTATAAGGTCTGGGTTGAAATACAACTGGAATGGTGTGATGATGTCTAGTTGCTGAAAAAAATCCAAGAATATGTCTAAATTCGGATACATCATATAACAGTACACATTTTTGTACCTTGAAGAAACTTTGGTGAAATTATAATGTATAACGTTATGTAGGTAAAACTTTGTGTTAAAACCTATGTGTGTGGAGCGAGGTTTGTTTTCGTTGTATTGTCTGTTTGCTTGTGTTTCCATAAATATTTCCAAATGGTACTACATGTAGCAGGCATGTTGGGGCCAGTGGACACTGAAAGAAAGTTAGGTCAAAGGTCCCAGAAAAGGTTATCTCATAATTTCCTGTATATGCCTATCTGTTGCCTAATGAATATTGAATTCATGTAGTAATAAAATAAAATAAAACCAAAAATTTAGAGATATTTCACGGGGTGCGAGATCTTTCATTGTTGCTCACGAATCGTCTCTTCCACTTTCATGACACAATAATAATTTTCACCCTGGGTCACTCCGACCCTTAATTATGTATAATTTTTTTTATTCCGGAAAGTTGACGTGTACTTTTAGATCATCTGGCACGTTGTGAGTTGGCAAAAAGCACAGGCCCGTCTGTGATATTTTGGAGGCAATATTTGGCTTATTGTACTGCCTTAGGACAAATCTGTATTCATCTACAATATATAAGAATGCAATTTTACGTTGACCGGCATCCAAAAAGGAATTTAACAGCGAAACAATAAGTAAACAATTGACAAAATATCCGGCTTCTAACACCGGCCCTCCCCCTTAAATACGGTCTGAAAATATCCGTCCATATCTCCGGTTAGGTACAACGCACGCTGCTCAAATTTTCACGGTAATTTCCTGAGGAGGGAGACTCACCACAGCGATGGTTGTGAGGACGGAGGCTGTTGTGTAAGCCCGTGTGATGAGGGGCATCTGAAGGTACTCTTGCTGAAACGTCTGGTACGCCATCTTTGCGATTCTTGGATCCGGCATGCACCGCGGCACCGGCTCGCCACGTCAGCCTTGAGGAGTGCATGGCGGGAAGTATGAAACTTTCGTTCGGGTTGGCGGAAAGTTTGAAATGTCTTTTTTGGAATACTAGTATGGGTTTATAACGTTACAGCATCAGTATAGCGTTACCACTATAACGTTACAAACCACATGTTCCATGTTGAAAAGAACACAAAAACTTCATTCTCTATTTGTTGTCAGATTCGACCCATAGTAAATTTAATTAATGTTGAGCATAAAATGCCCCCAACACCTCAAAAGTCAAAACACGTGCACACTGAAAAACAGGATCATTCCGATGCCTTCCTGTCCTATGCAAATGAGGTTTAGACCTCTGTTTTCGCAATGTATGCTGGGAATGGGAAATACGTGAATTACAGAAGGGCGTAACCCTAACAAAGGTCACAAAAAGGAAATAAATCACAGATCGTCTCAGAAATTGAAAACTTTATTCACCTGTCTTGGATATTTTAAAAGATTTAATTTCTAACAACAAACAGTGCAATAAACGTTTGTGACAGAAAATTGATTATTATTAGCTGTATTAGAAATGAAGTACTGTATTTCGTCGATAGTTGAGAGCAGATACAAATGACGTGTTCTAGAACTAATATAGGTCGAACTTTTGGTACACTATCATGACTATGGGTACTGAATATAAATTAGCCTGGTTGATTACTAAATAACTTCTGTGTGCGACAATACTGTACCTTTTTGACGGGGGACATGGTGATTCTTTTTTTTTTTGTAAATTCTTTTTTAAAAATCGGTTTGAAGTAAAACAAGCCCATTAGTGAGAAGGAGTTTTGTCCACAGCTGTGTACCTGTTCAAATATTACAGTCTGGGCAGAACATGTCACCCTGGAACATATAACAACTTTGATAAAAACCTTTTTTTTTTCATTTTTTTTTCAAATATAGTAAACAAACATTATGTGATTATGGAACCGACTGTACATCATGCTAACATCATGGAATGACGCTAGACAATTGGCGTGCTCTGTTCGATTTGTCACGCTTAAATTAAAGATATACTTTGAGTTCGTTCAAAAACCGAAAAAGATCGGTAAAAAAAGATCAAAAATCGAAAAAGACTAGAGGACATGCCTACAAGTACCAGGTACAAAAATCAAATGGACCCAGGTCCAACTTTTTCCCTGCAAGAACAACCCCAATTTGGAATAAACTGTCACCAGCCACAGTAATCAGGAGCTCAGTAAATGTATTCAAGACCAGGTTGACTATAGAGTGGAAGGACCACCCTGATAGATACGGATACGTCTTCTCCTACTGAATTGCCCAAACTGTCTACACCACGAAGACGGCCTCATTACCCAGTAAGGGTAACTAATGGCCTGGAGTCAGGTGAATATTCAGGTGAATAAAAAGACCACCTATACTGCATGTATAAATCAAACTGTAGTAAGGTACCGGTAGTCTACAAAGTTCACACTATAAAGTGCTGCTCTAAGAGTCTCCAAAAAGGTGAAACAGGTCGGTGGTTGTGGTCTCTCGTATGCGTCTCCCGGCGCTCCTCCTTGCCGAGTTTACCTGCTGGCTCCATCCACACGGGGCTGGCGGGGCGGCCGAACCGCTTGGCCTTGTCCACGGTGGCTCGCACCTTCTCCTGTATGGAGGAGAAACAGGAACATGCCCGTAGCCAGGATTTTGAATGGGGGGTTCTTCCCACTGCTTGAGGGGACCCATAGTAGGGCCGAAGGCGCGAGGTTCCTAGGGGGGTCCGGGGGCATGCTCCCCAGGAAAATTTTGAAAATGAACCATCTAAAATGGCATTTCGTGCATTTTTGAGAGGATTTCCAAGAAAAAATAAGAGATAAATTTTTATTCAATGACAAAGGGAGCAGTTTTTCTTCGATTCCAGTCCATCTTTCCAAAAAAATTCGTGGACCTTTTCATATATAAAAAGTGTACCTTTACATAAAAAGTGGACCAAAAAGTGGACCTTTACATAAAAAGTGGACCACTGAAAAGGTGGACCTTCCGAACCCCCCAACCGCGCCCCCCCCCCCCCGTGTACACTATACGACATCCAGTAGATTTCTATAGCGGGGACCAATCAGAGGGCTGCTGACAGGTCGCCGACTAGCGGCTATTACTATTAGCACCTTGTTTCATGTAAATGTCTTGAACTCGCTTCTTGTTTACTTCAGTACTAAGTACTAGTACTTCCACAATAAGTTTGTAAAATCCCCCCCCCCCAGCTACGGGCATGAGGAATACGATCATGTCAGATAGGCCAACCACAGCCCTTTGGTAGTGAGATATCGATGTAAAATTGTGAACATCTTTTTATAGACAATGTAATTACGCTTCTATCCTGTATATGATTCAATTAACGATTTGTGGACGAACACTGTTATGTCGACGTCAGTTCTGGTTTGCAATAGGAGTTGTTTTTGTCACAGGTAGCAGAAGATATTGTGTGGGGTCGTGTGGGGTCGTGTGGCGTAACGGCAGCGTTCTCGACACGGAACCAGAGGCCCCGGGTTCGAGTGCTGGCATGCCACCGATCTTGTGCCCTTCAGAAAGGCACTTTACACGACTTTCCTCACTTCGCTCAGGTGTAAATGAGTATTGTACTGTCCCTGTGTTGGTGGCGGCATTAATATAAGTTGAAAAACTTGAGTGTGCCGTCACCACGTCTTGTGATTACATGTTTCGGAATATATAAAAAAAAAGGAAAAAAAAAGAGAAGATATTGCGTACCTGGCGTCTCTCCGCGGCATCAGCCTGACGTGCCTCCAGCGCCTCCACTGTGGCTTTCTTCGCCACTCGGGCCCGACGCTTCTCCATGCGGGCCTCCATAGCCCTTCTCTTCTTACTCTCGCGTGTAGAAATGACATCGGACTCGCTCACTGCCGGCTTGATGAAGAAAGCGGTGGATTTTGCATCACACGGCTTCTTTGCCGCCTTCCTAGCAGCCTGGTTAGCCAATCTCCGGGATCTCTTGGCAAGTATGTCCTAGGTGAACAATAATGATGAGTACTTGTCTTAAACTTTCCTTTTCTTCTTGCATTGAACTGCCAATCACAATCTTTCCATCTAACCATGGATCTAACTTTCCACCCATTGACGTACTTCTATATTACATATCAGATAGAAGGTAAACTTACCCGTCTCCGCTCGTCTGCCTCATTCAACTGCGTCCGCAGTTCGTTTGGGGTTTCGGCGATTCTCTTCTTCACCATCTCCCGCCTCTCCTCCATTTTGCGATCCAACTTCTCCAGCCTGACTGGGCGGCGTGGGGGCGCGCTGTTCGGCTCGAACGCTGAGGCGGTCTTCGGGTCCGCCACCTCAAAGGCCACGGAGGTCGGCTGGCATTTGATCGGAATCACGCCCGCCTGTCGCAGGTCGGCTAGTACGTCGTCCGACGACTTGGTAGACCTGGCTTGGGACAGCGGAGCCTGTGCGACTTGCGCGAGGAATACTTCTGGAATAAACCGAAATACGGTTAAACACCATGCACAGTCGGTCATGGAGCAGCAAAGTCAAGAGAAGAGTGGTATCAATAGACTTTATGCCGATTGAGTTAGAAAGTCATGAATGGCAAAAGCTATTGTGTTTATCTTTCATTAAAAACATGGCGGTATTACACTCATGAAGTGTCCTGTATGTTACCATCCGGTAACACGTTGAGCACGTTGAGAGGCGGTGCGGAATTCACGGTTTACTATATCAGAATCCGGCAGGTGCATCCGGAGGGTTCACCGCAGAAGACGTCCGCGTCACTTACCGTCATTCCCCCTGTCCATAGACATGTCCTGTGGCTCAGGTGACTCCTTCCGTCCATCATTTACCCCTTCTCCAGCTGGTGTGACTTTATTGGGTTTGATTATCGAGCAACAGCTCATAATATTTATGATAGTTTCCCACATGGCGTCTGTCTGTGACGACGTTTGTCAGGGAAATGTGGTCAGTGGAACGTTGTTGTTCCAAAGATCGCTTGGAGACAGAGAGACGTCACAAACGGTGGACATCGTGGACGATTCGAACATGTATAACAGGGGTGTCATATTCACGACAAGGGATGATACGGGACTTGATAGCAATAAAATTGAGTCGTGTGGCGTAGCGGCAGAGTGCTCGACTCGGAACCAAGAGGTCCCGGGTTCGAGTCCAGACGTGCCCTAGCCTTGAGAAAGGCACTTTACACAACTTTCCTCACTTAGTGTCTTGTCCTGTATTTGTCCTCTGCGTTGCGTTGGTGGTGGCATAAAAATAAGTTGATATAACTTGAGTGTGCCGTCACCATGTCTAGTCATGAAATGTTGGAATAAAAATAAAGTGTCACCAAAAATCCAAGACCATAGTATGTTCAGGACAAAAGATACAAAAACCGGAAGTTCTGCTGCAGTACCAAGGTCAGCCACCAGAAAGCCAATATTTGACCTTGACCTTTGTCTTCCTAAGACCTACCAACCAAATATCATCACAATCCATAAAAGCGTTCTGAAGTTATGTTGACTACAAATGTGCGGAAACACAACACAACACAACACACACACACACACGCACGCACGCACGCACACACACACACGCACGCACGCACGCACGCACGCACGCACGCACGCACGCACGCACGCACACACACACACACACACACACACACACACACACACACACAGACACACAGACGCGCCAAAAACAATACCTCTATTTTTCAAGGAGGTAATAAACAAGGAATCTATAAATGTTTTACGAGATACTATTAGTGAAGTCTTCAATTCCATGTCGGCTATGTGTTGCGGGCAAAGGCCACTGTACTCGTCAAAGCAACAAGTCCAACTGACCGTTGACCTAATTGACGACGTGCGGTTTCCAGTCAGAACTATGGCACCAAAGAAGAAGAAAAGGACCGGGCCGTCTAAAGGGGAGCCTCCTCGGAAGAAAGCGGCGCCCCCGGCGTGCTGTCCCGAGGTCTACCTCACCCGGCCACCGCAGCCGGAGGAGAAGAAGCCTGGTCAACTGGACGACGATCAACTGAGACAGTTTTTCGAAGAGGTCTGTATTTTCATTCGTAGACACTTGTAACCAAAGCTCAGAATCCATATGAATCAGTTGCCTTTGAATCAGTGATATAAATATAATTCACAGTTCAAAGTACTTCAAACAAACAAGATTAAGTAAAACTGTCCGTATATAATTCAAGTGAAGTGTCTTCAAACACCAAATCATCTGTAGAAAGCTAGCATATACGCGCTCTGCGTATATTTGTAGGAAGTGGGCGTATTTCCAATCTCCAAGCAGCCTGAAGCAGTTGTGACGATTTTGTTGTTGTTGTTTTTTTTGTTGCTTTTTCTACGTTTCTATTGCTTTTTCTAAAATGATGGACGCTTTTGTGGGTTCAAGAGACATACAAAGTGCGAATTATCAAAATACAACAAAATAGAGAATGCTACCGCTTCCTTTTCTTGGAGATTAGGGAATTGGTACCGATAATTCTGATATATGCTGGGTGTTCGTGGACTTTGGAACTACATATTTGAGGTATGAGGCCAGGGGTCACTTCAGGTGAGGAGAATACAGATACATGTATATCAGCCCGCCTAAATGCGGATACAGATTTGTGTTGAGATCACGGTGTAGCATAAGGCCACAGCAAGTAATATTTATGGATGACATCAGCGCGCGCATTAATTTTCGCCTGATTTTGGAAAAACAAGAAGAACTTTTGATGCCCTCTGACAGTGGTCAACATGCCGAAAATGGGCAAATATGTCTGCTGCCATGCCGGAAGGTGAATGGCAGATAACTATGAAGAGAGGAGACAAGGAATGGTTCTGATTTAATGTTTTGTTTTTACTTTGATGAAGTGATGTCTGATGCCGGCTGTGTATATGTGATGTTCCCACTGAATCTAGCCACTTGTACAATGTTTGAAAAAATTTGAAAATGTAAGAACCTTGTTTTTTTTCGCCCGCTCGCATTAGATTTGGAGTCTGCGGGGGATGTCATCCATGAAATTTACTCGCTTTGGCCTAAATGTATGTACCAGATTAAGCGGTGTTTCCCGTTTTGCAGGGCTTTGTCCTAGTAAAGGACTTCTTGAAGCCGGAAGAACTGCAGCCCGTACGAGACGACATCGAGCGCCTTGTGGACGACCTGGCCGAACGGCTGTTTAAAGCGGGAAAAATCAAAGGTTATTACTAGTAATTGTCGAGCGTAACACGGATGAGCACACATCTGCTTGGACGATGTAGCCCGCATGTATACGAAGGACCAAAGCTACATTCTCCGATGTCAAGCCAAATACATGACTACTGCCAAATACATGACTCCGGTTTCCAATATACATGTACCTGAGACAAGGGGTGGGAGGGATTTGGTCGTGATGTGGGATACTAAACCTAACCTAACCTAACCTAACCTAACCTAACCTAACCTAACCTAACCTAACCTAACCTATAACCTAACCCCAATCCGTCTAACTCTAGCCCTGAACAATGATCCCAACTCTATATAATCCTAACCCTATAACTCTAATACCAACCTTAACCCTAGCTAACCCCAGCCCTAAACACCTGATTTCTCACGTATGTGACGTCTCGAGGATTTAATTGGCTCAACACAGCCTTTGCGGAGACTGCGGAGATTTTAGCTCATAAACCTGATTTAACCATACCATTGATATGTGCAGTAATCAGAAAGGATGACTGGAAAGATAGGTTGAAAAATAAACGACCGAACTCTGGTCGGACACTTTCCGGTATATTGCAGGAATTTTATATTAGTATTAGGTTGTTGCCTTCTATTCTATTCTCGGGTCCTGACATTATATTACTCAACTATGCATATTTAGCTTAATGATGACGCAAATCATGGCATAAACGGGATGTTGTTATAAATTTTTTTATCTTTTCCAGATAAGCACAAAGATGCCGGCTTGTTCAAACGACTCACTCTACTCGAACGAGACTTTCCCGGAACTGCCGTCATCTTACACAAGACTGGGAAACTACCAAAGGTTCGTGATTGTGACAAAAGGTGGCCAAGTGTATAGAGTTAAACTTTTGATCCAACACAAAAAAGTTTTCTCACCTAGAGTTTTCGACCAGTCACTCTGGTCTTCCTCGATCAGTAGACTGACCCAACGAGGCTTGTTGTCACGTGGAAGAGTGACATCAACACAGGTATGTGTCACAGGTATCTGGTAGACGATGTCGGCCCCCGTCGCGGTTGACAGGCCTCACTGGCTCAGGTCTTTATTCCGGTATCTAACAGTATCATCTGTCCTTAAGCCTTGTAGACTGTCAACACTTGCCATCAAAAGCGAGCAATCGAGTCTCAAGTTTGCTGGATCGCTGACAGTCTCTGAACCGATAGACGTTTACACCATTTTGTCCATTTTCGGTATGTTGACAACCATCGAAGGCCAACGAATTTTTTTAATCAATGCGCGCATTGATGTCATCCATAAAATGACTTGCTGTGGCCTTATTGTGAAAGATACAAGATTATTTACTAAATGCTTTCCAGAGTTTCCGAGATCTTTGGTCCAATGAGCGCCTCCTGAACGTGATGGAGCAACTGGTCGGACCCGAGGTTGCTGGAAACCCCATTTGGAACCTCCGGACCAAAGTCAGTATCGATATCATCACATGCACACGCTTCAAAGAACTGTCTAGATCTGTGGTGATGAAAATAAAACAGCTATTCAAGAATCACGGCACCTCTACATGGCGCAAAAGTCTACAATGTTGAATGATGACCAGAGTAACTCAAGAGAAAACGCAAACTTGTTAACATACTTATTCAATCATTTTTAGAAGTAAAGATGACTACTTTTTCAGAGCGATGAACAGTTGTACTGTTTTTGTTTTTGCACCAGACGCCCTACAACGAGCAGACAGAGGTTCCATGGCATCAAGGTAAACGTTTCAACAATAGACAACAACATGCAAATCAATATCATTTTTTAGCAAAAATTTCTCAATGATTACTATTATCTCCATGTCCTCATGTTTTCGTTGCTTCACCTTAAAAAAATAGTATTAGTTCACCTCAATAAAATAGAATACCTTTAAATCAAATCTTTATTTAATCAAAATCAACTTTGCACGCGTACTGCACCTCTTCAGACGAGTTGCGTTGAAATTTTACAGATAGATTAAAAGCATATTAACATTTGCATAATCAAAAATCACTATACAATACACATGGGCTTACAAAACAATTGCCCATTCACAATGCATACTCTGCATTTTGTAAATCTTTCGTGGTTCTCACAATGAAAGAGTTTTTCTGCCGGTCAGACCACTACTGAGTGGAAGTTTATATTGAGTTTTTTGGTTCCTCAGATTATGCTCCAGGTTATCTTTAGGTGGAAGAAAGACATACACGTTATCCCTACTCTGTTCGTCTTCCTGCCTTTCAATTATTAGACAACGCGTACATGGACGAGGAGGCGCTCGGCACGCTGATTCCCACTGCCTGGATCCCTCTGCTGGACGCCACGGTACAGAACGGCTGTATGCAGATGGTGCGGGGAGGGCACCGTAAGGGGGTCCTGGCTAAACACGTGTGCTGTACGGGCGGCACGTGGTACGTGGAGATGGCCAAGGAAGAAATGGAGCAAACTCTGGGTACGGGTACGTCGGATATAGCGGGATAGGTTCTGTAGTTCAGCGACCAACCTGAAGTTAGCCTTCGATTCAGCCTTCTGCGAAAAAGTGCGCACCAAATCGAATCGAGGGCCCAATCGAAGGCTGCGAATGGAGGGCTTAATCGAAGGCTAACTCCAGGTTGGTGTTCAGCGATAACTCTTTTTGTCGGGGTTAGAATCTAGGCCCAGTTACGTGATCTTACGTACTTTTGGGTACGGAAGAATTGCTTTGGGTGGCTGAGTTGTGCGGGTTTTTGTGTCTCTGCATTGTCTTAATTATACCTTCGGTTGCATGGTGGGTGGGTGGGAGGTGATTTTGACAGATGATTGATATGACATGATAGGAAGGTCAAGCCTGAAGGTGACGCTCCGGGTAGGAGTAAGTGGGTGGTATGCGGAGGAATTCAGGATGTTGTGTAATACCCGATTAAATTACATCATACAATACCGATACAATACCGTTACAATACTAAAATACATTCACGAAAACCCAAACATTTCATGGAGGTCTATCATGCTGTGAACTTGAAGGCCACGGAAACTCCAAGAATTTCAGAGAGTCTGAAATTTCTTGTAATGGCAATTGTTGATTACAAAAAGTAAAGTTTGTTGTACGCACAGATTGCGACCTGACCAAAGACGTGGTGACATGTGAGATGCCGTACGGCAGTGTGCTTCTCTTCAACAACCTCACACCACACAGGAGGTACGAACGACTTAATATATACATTAACCCTCACACTGCTGGCACACGCGCGCGACTTACAAGTTAACCTTCACACAGCTGGGGCTGCCTTCTGTCAGCAAATGTAATATAGCTCGCAATTTGGGTTTTGGTCACCTCCGGGCCTTCCAAACCGTTTTAGCTTTAGTCCTCTCATTTTGAACATAACGGTATAAAGCACTCGTGTGACCACTACTCATTTTGTATTCCAAAATTAAATTTTAAAACTTGAACACGAAAAAGTGTGTGATGTATCTGCGTTTTGAGGGAAAAGAGGCCCACAATATTGTTGCGTCTGTAGTCAGCGCTGTATATAGATATCGGCCTAGCCTCCACCAGGCCTTGCTACGGGATCACGGATCGTAGAATTCGCAAAAAAAATTAAAGATAGTAAAATTGGCCAGTCCGGCCGCGGAAGGTTGTTTCTTTCTCCATTCAAACCCCAAGGCTGCCAAACATCCCTGGCAAATATTCTCCTATACGTAGCCAGCGTATCGGCCCAGCTGATACAGGTAACGATACATGTAGGTGCACAAGTGTTTTAGTGTATACTTAAACTAAACTGGCCCCGCTCGGTTTTTCTTGCAGCCTCTCAAACATTTCTACCGATGTGCGCTGGAGTCTGGACCTGCGCTGGATGAACCCGGGGAAGCCGGCCGGCCTGTGGGGGCTGAAGGGCAGCCTCCCCATGCGCTCCGCCAAGAACCCCGACCTGGTCATAGACTGGGAGGCGTTCGAGGCGGTGGATCGTAATAAACAGCAGCAAAAGAGTGTGGTGAGTTTCGGGCGTAACCTGGTATTTTAGAGCATGCAGTTCATGCGAATCTCGCCAAGCATACAGTGAATGAGTGAATGGATGAATGAATGAATTTTTATTTACGTGTCTTGCGACTTTTGTCGCCCCAGCCCATATGGGCTTATAAGACACCAGAACATAAACATGAACATAAACATAGGTACAGAAATCATAGAAACATAAAATCAAAAGCTCAGACTGGAAACATCAAATGGAATTAAAGAACTTAATACAAAGTTGTACATAACATAATCGGTACATAAGCTAAGGGTCAAAAGTCAACTCAAATTGTCAAAAGTGCATACATGCATACAACTATAGTATGTACATACAATTTTAAGATTCCCTACATTGCTTTTATGAAATGTTTCATTTTACTAGAGTCCTACACAAAGTGCTGAAGAAATGTCAGTTTTGAATGATGTCGAGAGGAATATTTCCCTATGTGGGAAAACAGTTAGGTTCCACGGCAAACTGTCTATATCCGCGCGTTCTCACAAAATCGTCAAGTGCGCCGTCTAGCGGTTTGCTGGGGTAGTGCCTCCCGTAGGTATGCAGGTAAGACATCAACTCCAAAGCAGCTCCTCTGGGGTACAAAACTGCCTGCGTACAGCAGTCGTTGGCCTCTATCATGAGGTACAGATGTTTTGATATTCTTCTCAACTCAAGTAGATGCGGTCTGGAGATAGCAAGCGCCGACAGAGCACAACAGAAAAAAGCAGCGACAAAGAACCGCTTGTCCAACACGAATGGTCTCCGGAATTTTGCAACAAGAAGGAAATCCAAGATAATAATTGCTGTGCCACCGACAATACCGATCCCTAGAAGTTCGAGTGAATTGATGATGATTCGTTTCGGTTTGGCGGTGAAAAAATCACGCTGGTGATATGGCGGAGAAAACAGCTTGATGACCGTTTTTGTGGAGTTATATTTATCATTTTTCTTCAGTTCAAAACCGTGATATCTATGTTCTAGCTTGGTTCGTATGATGTGGTCGATGATATCGAACGTCCCACGTAATGCGACGGCGTCGTCTTCCACAACAAGGATATACTCCGAGTTGAGGGCCAGGGTTTGGTTCAAACAGAAGACGTAGTCTTCCCTGTACTTCTCATTTGCGCCCTCTGGCGGTTTCAGCCCATTCGCCAGCTGATATTTTGACCGAACGGGTACTAGTAGAGACAATAAGACCGCATCGGAATGGGAGATGGGATCAGAATCCATGTTACAGATCAGAACACGAGTGGAGAATGGTGGTCTGTCTTGCAAGATCGCCGCTACAGTTTGAAGAAGGTATCCTGGATTATAAAAACCACCGTCCTGTGTCCTAAAGTGCCTGTTTACGGTAAGAATTCCAATGGCTAGCTTCACTTTGGTGCGTGTGTCTAGAACAACGTTCGAAGACCCGTCGACTGTTTTTGAAGCGAAGAATTCTTGGGCTTGACTTCTACGTTCGTCGTTGATCCTTCCCGAATAAGAGCCCGGGTCCTCGCCTGCCATGTGAAGGTACTGACTGTAGTAGATTGAGAAGTACATTCTGTGGCACAGGACCGGTAAAATCACACAAAACACCAAGAAGTAAAGTTTCAAGATCGAGAGGAGGGACACTCGGCGAGACATCGTGACTGATTGGACCGTATCGTATCTAGATCTGTTACAAAATTTTAGACAATTGCATGCAAAAAAATTGCATGCCTTTCAGTAAATTTTAATGGTGATTTTTGTATAGCTCATCCATTTCCAATCCACGGGAGATGAGGACATCGACAGATGATCTCTAGATTTGTACATCTGTATTTATCAAAGAAGAGACTTGAATATGTTAAAGGCATAGAGAGGTAGTGTATCTCTTAACGATAATAACCACCAGACATGAAGATATATGCATGGTCACCACTAGCACTGGTCACTAATCAATAGCATAACACAATAACGTTAACCTGTACAAGACAGGATGAAATAAAATATATGCAGCAGAGTAGGTCTACTATACGTACACGTTTACACAACCAATTATCGTATTAGGGTGGGGCTCAGGCGCCATTGTAGTTTTATGTGGCCCGGCTATATATATGGGGATATACTAAGACAGCAGGGTAAAACTAGCTCATTAGTTAATCACAAATTAATGTAGCGACAACAGCCTGTAACGTTAACGTTAACGAATGAGCCTGTAACGTTAACTGGCCAAAGTTGTCATTGTTTTTACTGAAATGCTTTTTGTAGTGTAGCAAGGGTATCCCCGTAACACCTATTAACAATTGCCGTTTTTGTATACAGACAAGAGCGCCTGTAGTTTTAGATTGCATTGTGATGTATAACACTGTATACAAATTCCGACTTACCTGGACAAAACTCAGAGCAGCTTCACGTCAAACTTTGCAAAGAAACACGTAAAAAAACGATGATACTCGTGATATTTGCCGCGTTTGCTATCCAGATATCCCAGCAAAGGTAAAACTTGTCGGGTGACTTTGGAAGGTCAAACAAGCCTTCACCAACACCCTCTCACCCTCTTGCGCTGCAACCTGGAATTTCAGTATGACTTTCAAGTCTTTCATACTACTTAGAAGTACATGTTCCGATATGGGATTTGTGAGAAAATATGTGCCAGTAGTTTGTTTGTGATATTCCTCAACTGTGTAGAACTGTACTAGAAATTCATACTATGCTAGGCATACATTTGTATTCGCACATGGATAAAACAACAACAATAAGGTGACCTTGTGTTGACTCGACCACTACTTGCCCCAGGCATTATTCTCAGCCATGCCACTGCCATTCAACTGTTCTAATATAAGTTTTATTCATAAAAATCAGCCCTGCAGCTAGTGCACAAACAAGCTGAATAACACTGATTTTTATACAATTGTGTAGTAAGTACAAATACAAAATTAACATTACAATACGTATACAGACACACAAATAAACACATTACAAAGCCACACATGGGCACTGAAGTAAAGTCCAGAGAGTCCTGAGAGTTACTGCAAAAACTCGTTGTACAGGCATATTGCCTTGTGTAAGAAAGAGTTTTTCAGTCTGTTTGTACGGGCTGCTGGCATGGTACTGTAGTTGGTGATATGGCGGAGAAAACTGCCATTCACCTAGTTGAAAAAAAGGTACTCAGTATGTCAATATCCAAAACTTGTTTAATTTCAATCTGTCAATACCGTTCTTTTTAATGTGTATCTCTAATCTTTGTGTAATTCAGCCAACTCGGCTGCAAATGCAATGTGAATAAACAGTATTCGTATTCGTTCTCTCCAAGCAGAGTTTAGGCCTCTGTGAATACCTTCATCAGGTTGGCAAGAGACTGTGCCTTATTCAAGAAATCGAACGTGCCAGGCAGTTTATTAGTCTCCACCAGACTCCTTTGCAGCCTGAATGAATGGTAGAAATCGGCTGCATGTTGGCAAACTGACCCTATGGCCAGCCAACTCCCTGGCCAGCTACATTATTTTTAGGCCAATTTCTCTACGATTTGTTTAAGTTAAAACTTTTGCTCCAACACAAAAAAATTCTCTCACCTAGAGCTTTCTACCAGTCACTCTGGTCTTCCTCAGTAGACTGACCCAGTGAAGCTTGTCACGTGGCTTCTTTGAAGTGAACGTCAACACTGGGTCAAAGGTATCTGGTAGACGATGTCGACCCCCGTCGCGGTTCTCTACTATTTATCAGCCTGCAAAGGAGTCAAATCTGGTGGAGACTACAGTTTAATTCCTGTCGTTTTTTTGTGCTTAGTGACAGAATGTTGTCTTTTTGTTTTCAGGACAATGTAGCCGGGGCTGAGGACGAGTTTGACGCCACCATCCAGGGACCGTGGATGACACGCTGGGAAATCGTCCATCACAACAAGCACACCCGCTCAATGGTCAACCCTGGCAAATAGGACACCATGCCCGTAGCCAGGATTTTGAATAGGGGGTTCTTCCCACTGCTTGAGGGAACCTCGAGCGCCGTAGGCACGAGGTTCCTAGTGGGTCCGGGGGTATGCTGCCCCGGAAAATTTTGAAAAATGAACCTTCTAAAATGGCATTTCGTGCATTTTTGAGAGGATTTCCAAGAAAAAATCATAGATAAAGTTTATTCAATGACAAAGGGAGCAGTTTTTCTACAATTCCAGTCCATCTTTTCAAGAAAAATCTTGGACATTTACATAAAAAGTGGACCAAAAAGTGGACCTTTACATAAAAAGTGGACCAAAAAGTGGACCTTTGAGCCTTGTGGGGCTCTCCGAACACCCTGGCGAATAGGACACAAGCCCGGTGTCGAGCCATATACATGATCCTGCCAAATACACGACTCCAACACTACTTGGGGGTTTCTAATATACCTGAGACAGGGGGTGGGAGGGATTTGGTCGTGATGTGGGAGACTAAACCTAACCTAACGCAAGTCTAACCCTAGCCCTGAACAATGATCCCAACCCTAACTCCAATACCAACCCTAACCCTAGCCCTAGCCCTAAACACCTGACCTCTCACGTATGTGGCAGCTCAAGGATTTGGCTCAACACCGGGAATTATGTCAGTATGGTGGCCTTGGAAAGGCGACCCTGACAAGGAACACCTGTTTCACCATACCGTTCACTGTGTTGGAAAAGCGTAATAGATATATGAATAAATATGCCAATGGACAGGGCCACGACTGGTTTCAACATACAGTTAACGTTACCCCTCAAGGAACGTAAACAAGAAATTGGAGATTTCAAATTCTCTAAGAAATGTGGCTGTCACAGACAGACAGACAGAGGAACTTACGCGTTTGTATGTTTGGGTCAGAAAAGGCTTTTCAGCACTATAGAAAGATTAATCACTTGGATCAAGATTAATTTTTGATATTTCTGAAACACAATGTCATCTCCAATCGTAAGAATGAATAAATCTCAATGCATTTTTTTTGTAAGAATTTGTAAAATTTGGTGCTGTACCTTTTGAAAATGTTACTTTTCACTGTTCACCATGGTTGACAATAGCTATAGTCGCTGTTAAATAAAGAAAGGAATGAATAAAAACTTCTCGATCGTATTGCGTCAAATGTATCCTTCTTGATCGTATTGCGTCAAATGTATCCATCAATATACATAACCAAATATTATCGTATGCAGTTTGGTGTCATCTTTGTTGCTTTCGACCCCCTGGTCTTGAATGGAATAGTCCAATTGTATGTACACGGTTCTGATTGGCCAACACCAAGCGGTGGTGGAAGCGCTCCTGTGATTGGCCAGTTATACACAATCTATCCTGTCTCTCATTGGTTGCCACATTGTTTCCATAGTGACAAGTTTTGTTGACAAGGTCACGTTGCCCTGATCATTCTATGCTTGGTTCTCGCGGAGACAAGATGTCCGGAGTTTTCAGAGCGACAAATCAAGCTTCCCAAAGCTATAATCAGATGTCAGAGATGCCGCAAGTGTCCTATTTGACCTTGGTAAGTTCTATGATGTGATATATCGTAATGTGAGAGGTTTAGGGTTAAAATTTGGGCGCACCGTTGGTCTAAAAAGTCATCTATCAACAGTTGACCACTTTATCAGCATAATTTATTCATGAGCAAGTGAACCCAGCCTACTGAGTTGCTCCTTGTACCTTTACTGTGTACACTCTGGGGTTTAGATGTAAACTGGCAACGAATCTTACATCTAAGATACTACAGGCGTATCCAATGTTTGAGTTACGAAATATGTGTGACCATAAAAATGTAAGAAAAACCTTTAAGAACGAGTGACTTTTTAGTCTTACAAACGACCCCCCCCACATAGAAGAAAGACCTAGCTTGCTTTCCTTTCACAAAGATCTAAGAAAATGTTACAAAATTCCACCAATGATTTTAAAAGTACATTCTCCAGCATATTTTAAAGCCTTTTGTAAGATGTAGGTTAGTGTCGTAGTATGTTTGTTGCTACTATGTATAACGTTATATGTCGTGTATAAATGGAGAAGAAAATTCCTTGTTCGAAATCTTTTTACAGTGACAGTTTCTTTCCCCGTACGACCAAGCTCTAACAAGTGTTTCCCACCAACCTACAATCTACAGGCTTTCAAATCAAACGTTCACCACCATCTCTTGACATGGCCATGTTTCTCTCATATTTCTAGTTGAATGCCGAGTTGTATAGGCCTTACATTGAACTACTCCATTAAAAAATATATATATATGTAGATGCCATGCGATGTAACGTTACCTTGTACACCTGTACGTAAACTGAAAGTTTTTCTATTTCTAACGTTGTATGGCAGATAAAATAAACACCCGTTTCTTACTCCAGGACGGCAGGTATCACGTCTGTGGACAAGACGCCGTCTACTACACAGACGATAGCGGTACAGAACGGTTCGTGGAGGCTGGGAGTTGTACCGACCTAACCGTCGACCTGTACCTCACAGAGGACGAGTGGGCTTGCCTCATGCCCGCAGATGATGGCTACGGTCCCGGCTTTATCGTAGAAAGGTTCCTTGGCAGCCTCTGTGAAAGCTACGAGGAGACACCACAAGATGCTCAGGAGCAGAACATGTGCGTAAATGGACAAGAAACCCAAGAGCACAGCGATATGGAAACGGGAAAGTGGGATTTTCCTTCTTTGCCCATGCATGAGTTCTCGACGGAGATAGAAAATCTAACGTGTGTAATGGATGGTCAGAGGCTGTGGAAAGACGAGGTGTCCATCTACTGGTCGGAGAGTGATTCGGACGAAGAATTGCAACTTCTGGGACAAACTGAGGTAGACTGACCATCTTTTTTTATCTATTTATTTATCAAATGTTCTGGCCACTGTTGTTTTTTCGAAAGTTTTGTGTTTCTTGGTAGTTATATCTACATGCTAGGTAAGTTGGCAACATTGACAGGAAGTTAGACCAAAGGTCCCAGAAAAGGTTATCTCATTTCCATTCTTCAATTTTCAAGATGGACCACCCCAACAGCCAAAACCATGCTACTAGGAGGGGTCAAAGGTTGTGTGGGGCCGATGTGTCCATCTACTGGTCAGAGAGTGACCTGGATGAAGAACTGCAACTTCTGGGACAAACTAAGGTAGACTGGCCATCTTGTTTTTCTTTATTATTTATCAAATGTTCTGGCCACTTCTTGTTTCGAAAGTTTTGTGTTTCTTGGTAGTTATTTCTACATGCTAGGTAAGTTGGCAACACTAACAGGAAGTTACTTCAAAGGCCCCAGAAAAGGTTATCTCATTTCCTTTCTTCAATTTCCAAGATGGACCACCCGAACGGCCGAAACCATGCTGCTATGAAGGGTCAGAGGTTGTGGCAAGATGAGGTGTCCATCTACTGGTCAGAGAGTGACCTGGACGAACAACTGCAACTTCTGGGACAAACTAAGGTAGACTGGCCATCTTGTTTTTTTTTATTATTTATCAAATGTTCTGGCCACTTGTTGTTTCAAAAGTTTTGTGTTTCTTGGTAATTATTTCTACATGCTAGGTAAGTTGGCAACACTGACAGGAAGTTAGGCCAAAGGTCAGACTCAAAGAAAAGGTTATCTCATTTCCTTTCTTCAATTTTTAAGATGGACCACCCCAACAGCCAAAACCATGCTGCTATGAAGGGTCAGAGGTTGTGTGGGGACGAGGTGTCCATCTACTGGTCAGAGAGTGACCTGGATGAAGAACTGCAACTTCTGGGACAAACTGAGGTAGACTGGCTATCTTGTTTTTTTTTTATTATTTATCAAATGTTCTGGCCACTTGTTGTTTCGAAAGTTTTGTGTTTCTTGGTAGTTATTTCTACATGCTAGGTAAGTTGGCAACACTGACAGGAAGTTAGACCAAAGGTCCCAGAAAAGGTTATCTCATTTCCTTTCTTCAATTTCCAAGATGGACCACCTCAACAGCCCAAACGATGCTGCTATGAAGGGTCAGAGGTGGGGGGACGAGGTGTCCATCTACTGGTCAGAGAGTGACCTGGATGAAGAACTGCAACTTCTGGAAAAGGTGAACTTTTTTATTTTTATATGTTCTTGTCAACGTTGGTTGTTGTTTGATTGAACACTTATAGTCACAGCAATTTAGCAATGATAGGTAGGTAAGAAAAGACATTTCGCTCATCCTATGGAAGATCATGAGTCATTTTCATTGTAAGGTGGTTTAACCATGCCATCTAGCATCTACCTTTCAAACTGCAGGTGGCAGGCAAATACATGTGCAGGTAAATCCTACCTCTCATAAGTGGGGGGGGGGGGTAATGATAGGAAACCCCTGTAAGTGATACATGTTATTTACAATAAACTGGTCTTTCTCAGGTTTCCATGCTGTATGGGTGGAAAAAGGAGGATATCTACCGTCTAGTTGTGGAGAAATCCACCAGGTTGTCGAGGTATGATCTGTACCACGGGCCAGTTCACTACGCTCGCTCGCCAAGTCATCATCTCATTGGCAGCCGTGGTGACAGCAAGGAACGGATTGTTTTGGAAGGAGAGGATTGTCCGGTAAGTCCGAAGGACTTTAGACAACTTCCTCCACCTTTTTTATACATAGCTACATGTAGCACACATCTTTTTCGTTCCTGCATTGAATATGGTATTTGCACAAAATAGGCCTTTCCGCCTACCTGCACTGATGCAACATTGAAAATTACCTGCACCAGACAAATTTTACCCGCATCACTCTGAATTTAGGAAAACTTTAGTATGAATTGTGAAAAAACTTTTGCCATTATTTCTTTATATGTCGTAACAGTCAATGAAGCAAATAGAAATCCACACAGACCTACATGTACATTTGTACATAAACCTACTACATGGACTGGGTGTGGTAGATATCAGAAATACCTGCACAGCTCCAATTCTACCTGCACTAACCTGCATATGCAGGTGCTATTTCAAGCCCTATATAACACTGCTTTTAGTCTGGGTAGCCCTTTTAAGAGAAAGTGAAACAAGACTGACAATGAAAACATACATTGCCATGGTGATGGTAGTTGCTGTATGTTAGGGTTATTGTTTGCATGGCACTGCCATCATTTCATGATTTTGAGGAAGGCTTGGTACCTGTTAAGTCAAGACACTCCTCCCCTGAGTGTATAGTGAACGAGCCCCGGGGTCACAGAAAGTAGGGCCATCAGGGGCAGACAGGTCTTCCCAAGGGTTTCCAGGAATGTGGGCTTAGATGTGGGTCAGAGAAATGCGTGTGGACAAAATGCCTGTACCATTCCTAGAACTCTTGCAAACTGCCAACAATACTGTACCATTAGGCTCCTCCCTGAGACGTCGCCAAAAAAAAAAAAAGAAGCAATGCCAACACTAACCCACTACTATTTGTCATTCCTCAGGAACCATCAATGCACCCCATGGTTCAACCAGGCCATTATGGAAAAGCAATCGGCAAGGCAGCCCCTAGGAAAAAACTGCTGCAAGCATCTATGTATAAGATTCAGTTGTTGAATGGCAGCACGATTGTTAAAGTTTGTCTTGTCTGTATTAGCTGCTCCTGTTGGCTTCTTCTCATGGGCTTACCAAGTTTCTGTACAGTTGTGGTAATTGGGCTACAAAAGTTTGGTAAGCGCGCGGGAAAAAGCCGACAGGGGCAGCTACGCTGGTGACCTTTGACATACAGAGAACAGGTCTTACATCCTACTTTGTATTACAAGATGGAGGACGTTTTCTGTTGTCAGAGGTTTCCATGGTGACTGACAACAAGTATGGTTGCCAGGTAACCACAGTAGCTGCCCCTTTTTATATGTGCACCTATCAGTGTGAACTTTGACAATCTGTCCAAGTATTCTTCAAGTTCATGTTTTCCATAGTATTACACCATTGGCTTCACACTGGTAGGTGCACAAAAAAACTGTTGTAGTGATAGGCATTGTCAACCTGTTTGAGAGTTTTTAGTATCTTTTATATATACGATATCGTATGTATACTCGTAAGTTTCTAATCATAATAGAATTTGCAATTTTGTACCCGTATATACTTGTGAAAAGAGGAAACCTAAAAAAGAAGAAACCAAGGACGGACAAAGTTAGAAAATGATTTAATGTCAAACTTGCAGTTTGTCACACAATGTATATTATACAAAGAAATGTTTTCACAATGCAAGTATTAAAGATTCTGTTAAGTCTGCTTGACAGTCGAGTTTAATAAATGTGAGCAAAATATTTTACTTGAGTTTGTCTGCTGTTTTGGATGTATCCTTTTGTAATGATCTGGTTCAAAGTTTTTGAATTGCCCATGCTCTGATGCATTTTGGGTAATGTGTAAAAGTTGAAGCCACTGTGACTGTGATATACAAAACATAGCTGGACATCACGTCTTATACTATCATGAAAGTTCATCTGTGTTGGTAGTTACATGTTTCAAGTTAAAACTTTTTGTCCAACACAAAAAAGTTCTCTCACCTAGACTAGAGCTTTCGACCAGTCACTCTGGTCTTCCTCAGTACCGTGACGGGGGCCGACATTGTCTACCAGATACCTTTGACCCAGTGTTGACGTCACACTTCATGTGACAAGCTTCACTGGGTCAGTCTACTGAGGAAGACCAGAGTGACTGGTCGAAAGTTCTTGGTGAGAGAACTTTTTTGCGTTGGACAAAAAGTTTTAACTTTAAACATGTTTGGACATGGCATCAAAATGGTCCAGATCAGAACTGTTTACAAGTTAGGGGCCTTTGCCTTTGACCTCCCACATCTGCAGTTCAAACTGTGAATCAGCGTATACATGTAACTAAGTATCTGCTTTTGATTCAAAACAGTCAAAAGACTGCAATAATGAACTTAATATACAAACTAAGCTGAAGTTCACTAACATATATATATAAATCCCAGAAAATCACAGTACCATCATTATTACATTAATCAAAGAAATGGACAAAAGGCAGAAGGTACGGTAGAAAATAGACGACAGCACGGCAGGTTTTTCTGGTCCAGTGTTGACATTGTCATACACCACATTGTAGTCTCATACTGTTGACTTGTTTCACCAGCTCACCGATCTTGTCACCTCTGTGAAGAAGAAAAAATAATCGTTTATATCTCAGGAGCCTTTAAAGTTCCCACCATGCATTACACTGCATATACACAGTTCAAACTTTAAACCAACTTATACTTCAGTCTATGAATTAAGGTAAAATGCACATCCGATTGAGCATCAATATTACACTTATTGATGAGCCTAGAATAGATAGCAAAAACATATCTCTATTGGATTTTAAGTTTCTGTACCCAAGGCCACAGCAAGTAATTTTTATGGATGACATCAGCGTGCGCATTACTTTTCACCTGATTTTGGAAAAAAAAACACAAGAATTTTGTTGCCTTCTGACAGTGATCAACATGCCGAAAATGGGCAAAGATGTACTCTGTTGCCATGCTGGAAGGTGGATGACAGATAACTATGAAGAGAGGAGACAAGAAAAGGCTCTGATTTAATGTTTTGTTTCTAACTTTGATGCAGTGGTATGGGATGGTAGCTGTGTATATGTCATGTTCCTACTGAATCAAAACCATTTGTACAATGATTTTGAGTCAAAATTTTAAATTGCAGGAACCTTTTTTTGGCCAGCCTTGTTTTTTTTTCGCCAGCTCGCATTGAATTTGGAATATGCAGAGGATGTCATCCATAAAATTTACTTGCTGTGCCCCAATACAAGCAACCGTGATGTGTGTATTGACACAATTGTAAAATGAGACTTACTCTTGCTTGAGCAGTTCTTTCATGTGCTTGGTCTGTGATTGGCTGAGAGCAGGGCTGGAGGTTTGCCGAGCCTGCTGGGTAACCTGCCTTTTCTGGTAGTCCCACTTAGTTTTCACCTTGGAGGAAACAAACAAGCAAACAAACTGTGTAACAAACAAACAAAAGAAACAGATGTACTAATTGTAAGCTAAGTCATTGCCATTTTTTCACAAACATGTACTAGTACTGTCTACTAGTTTGAAGCACAATACTTGTCAAGTTAGTACAACAATAGATCAATCCTGTAGCTCTTCCCATCTGTGAACATGTAGAAACCCAAACAAAAGCATAAAAATGCAAATATTTGATGGCAGCCACTCTCTCATTGGTCAATGCCATGCTGCCATTGGTTGAACAGCTAACTTAATTAGAATGTAACCCATGGTAGTGCGTGGCTATACCCACCTGCTGTGTGGAGTTTTTCAGGTGTTTGAGTTTCTCCTGCAGGGAGTCTAACTCCTTCTTCATGTTGACTTCAGCATCAGACAGGACAGGCAGCCGGGCTTGGAGACTCTTCAAAACATTCTCCACTCTGAAAAACAAAACATCCCAAAAATTTAACTTCCTTTTGGCATCTATCATAGTAACATGAGCAATCGCCATGGCGTCACAGCTAGGAGAGGTCAGGCAAAAAGCGGATAGCAGTTGAGTGATTTGCCTACCTACTATTTGCCACCAAAAAACTCAAGACCATAGCATGTCCAGGATAAAAGATTAAAAAAAAATGAAGGCTGCAGTATCAAGGAAAGCTGCTAGGAGACTTTGGACTTTGTCCCTGCAGGACCTACTCACATACCAAATATCATTGAAATCTATCCTTACCTACTTTAGTTATGATGACAACAAATTTTGGGAAACAAAAAAAGAGACAGACAGAAACAATCAATCTTGACCTTAGTTTTCCCAAGACCTACCCACTTACCAAACATCATCACAATCAATCCCAACCATCTCTTTTCATTGACCACAAATATCTGGAAACACAAACAAGGACACAAACATTACAAACCTTTTTAAATATTCCTGTTGCTTCTCGTTGGCTTCTTCGTACTTCTCGGCGAGTTTCTCGGCCATCTCGGTCAGACTCTTCCTGTCCTCCCGTAGTGTGTCCAGGTCTGACTGTTGCTGGGCCTTCTGTTCCTTCAGTAGGTCCACTCTGGAAAACATAGCAGGAAAGGAGTCACATTTTATCTGTTTGAGTGTAGGCAGGCCTCGAAATTAACTTTTCTTCCTATTGTCCCAGAACTGTCCCAAAAATTAATTTCAATTGTCCCAAAGTGAAGATGAACTGTCCCACCTTGTTTTTCGGGAAGTAGTGTTTGACTTCAACTGTCTTGAAGTCAACTTTATTTTGCTTACGTTCTGACTCCCAGGTGCACTATAATTGCAGAGTAGACAGGAAATTTTTTTTTTTGGGGGGGGGGTGTGACTTTTCAGAGCCAAAAGCTGGGAGAAGATAGGACAAAAGGACTGACATTCTGATGATGATTACTGTTCTGTTGTCCCAAAAATGTCCCAAAGTGTCTTCTTAGTTGTCCCGGCCTAAAATTTGGTGGTCAGTGGCCATTGGGACACCGTTAATTTCGAGCCCTGGTAGGGGTCCCTCAACTGTGATTTGGCCCCCATATGCTGTGATTTAGCCCCCTACACCAGCATAGGGGTACATGTATTTCTTTTGGGAGAATCCTATGACCATTCATGAATCTTAAAAAAAAAAAAACAACTAAAATTTCACTTTTAGAATGAAGCTATAACAAAGGGAAAACACAACAAAATTTAACTTCCAATTAATTCTTCCTCATATACATTTATATATATGGTCACTCAGACAGAAGTCTAAATCCCTCTTACTATAAAATTGCAACATTATGTAACCCAACACCAGTTACCATGGTGACAGATGTCAACAAATCAGGTCATTGGCCAGGTCAGAGGTTAGTGTTTGGAACAGAAGAAGAAGAGGAAATGTAGCAAAAACAATGTTTTCCTTCGGTAAACATAAAAACCAGGAAATAGTGTCTCATGGGTTTAAAATTTTTTTTTGAGAATGCAAGACCCCCTACGCACACTGTGAAAAGAAATTCTGGTGAGGTCCCCCTTACCTCTTCTCCACCTCTTCCCTTGCCAGGTACTGTTTCTTAATGTATTCGTCCCGGAACACCTGCGTCGCTCGAGTCAGCAGCTGGAAACATTCCTGATCTGACGGCTGCGCACCCTTTGGGATAGACCTTAAGAACAAAAACATTTTTTTTCCATTCATATTGAGGCCAGCATGAAGAAAGCATATCACAAAGTTCCAGCAGATGTGTACTAGTAACAAGGTGGTCTTATGGTTTAAGGGTACACACTGTAGAATCTAAAGGTTCGGGGTTTGAATCCCTAGCAGTTGAATCCCTAGCATGTTGTGCCCTTGGGAAAGGCACTTCACACTTATTTTCTCACAAAAAATGAGGTTCTAGTTTTGATTAGGCCACACCAATTAAATTTGTTGTTTCTCGGATTCGCCCTGTCTATTTTTTTCTGATTTGCAAAAAAAAAAATTTTTTTTGGGTTCCTAATTAACTGCAAAATTATTTTGGCCCCAATGGTTGAAGTTTTTCAATGTAACAATGCAATTTCGTTTCATCAAAAGTTCAAAATCTATTGTTTTAATTATAAACCAGCCTGGTATGTTCACTTCATGGCTCATATTGTAACATTTCTGGCTATCATGGGGTGCCTTGGCCTGTTTTTTTTATTTCGCCCTGTCGCTTCATATTTTTTCTGAAAAAATCCGAGAAACAACAAATTAAATTGGTGTGGCCTTAGGTACATCCTAATGGATGGGGAGTAAAGCCAGAGATCCTGTGTTTGAGGAGAGCCACACCTTGAGCATGTTGATGGTTAAAACTTTAACAGTAATATATATAACATCTTACTTGAGGATAGGGTTGGAGGCATCTCTTCTTAAGATATCCCTGATGTGTTGGTCAAACGGCTTGGAGTGCAGCTTCCTCAGGGGGGAGGTGACAGGCTGGGGGGGTAGGGAGGACAGGGTGGGGGGAGGTGGGTCCGCATAGTGTGTCCTGATAGAGGGGGAACCAAGAGACAAATAATTACATAAAGTTGAACTTCCTGAATTTCTCCAAGTCAACCAGCATATTTCTGCTGGCCCCTGGTCAGATATCTGACCTTCTGCCATTCTGCTTGTCAATCTGTCCCCCCACCAACATGCTGTCAACCTACTCTGAATGGACAAACACACAGACAAAAATATCCAAGACTTTATTTAATATCTGGAAGTAAAAATGCAATCTTGCTTTTTTTCAGTGAATTCAACTGTTGGTATCTGGCTTATTAGCTGCCTTCTTCCAGTTTTGTGCATTCAACTTTGAGTATACTATGATAATCATAAAAATTCATCTGTGTTGGTAGTTACATGTCTAAAGTTAAAACTTTTGGTCCAACACAAAAAATTCTCTCACCTAGAGCTTCCGACCAGTCACTCTGGTCTTCCTCGGTAGACTGACCCAGTGAAGCTTGTCACATAGCTTCATTGAACCGCGACGGGGGCCGACATCGTCTACCAGATACCTTTGACCCAGTGTTGATGTCACACTTCAAAGAAGCCACGTGACAAGCTTCACTGGGTCAGTCTACTGAGGAAGACCAGAGTGACTGGACGAACGCTCTAGGTGAGAAGAATTTTTTGTGTTGGACCAAAAGTTTTAACTTTAGACAACTTTGAGTATAGTTGTAAAGAAATGTCTATTTTTTTTTAATGTGTATTGCAGAAAACCTACAAAAAATGTATATCAGTATATATGTAGGTATTGGATTTACCCATAAAACCTAGCCAAAATTCTCTGTAAAAAGTAGTTAGTAACAAGTAAAATCTGAGCTTTTATACCTCCGGGCTTTTTATTGTATATTTTCATATAGGGTTTTAAACAAAGACTTTATTGAGACCGGACACCCCTCTGTGTGAGGGGTCATATACGTGGACCAGACCGAGAACAGCTTAAACACGCCAAAGGTCAACGGTCGCGACTATTTTCACGCTCAAAGGGGTGTTCTGGGACCACCAAAAGGCACCATTTTTACGACTGAAAACACATATACAATGAAAAACAAAAGAACATGCATCATCTACAGCCCAATAGCAAAACATACACCGAGTCCCAAAAAAATCCGTCCACCGAAACGCGAGAAACAGCTGCGAACATGAAAATCTAAATCTCTCACAAAACCCTTCCGCGGAAGGATGTCTCCTCCCCCGGAGGTAATGACACTTACAGAAGAGGCAGGGCGATGCAGGTGATGTCAGATGTCAGACACAGGAGGGTCGGGCCCAGCAGCTGGTCTCCCACCACAGTTACTCCCAGTATGGGGGCAGGGGGACTGTGGGGAGATATATCAGTAAGTACATGACAAATTCACACTTCTCAAACATATTATGCCTTGGCCAAAAAGCAGTTACTCTGAGTAACTGATTTTTGGCATATCTTCTTACCTGGATGTCTAATCTTCATCGAGGTTTATTATGCCTTGGTAATAAAAGTTACTCTTCCTTGGTAAAACAGTTACAGCTTCAGCACCCAATATGGTGTTGCAGGAGGTCAAGGAATTTTGAATTAGAGGGTACTATTACAAAAACTAACATAACAATATGGTAAAAAAATTAAGTATAATACCCAAACAAAGTATGGTAGCAGAACATGTAGTCTGAGGATATATTTTGTCCTGATCAGACAGTGTGATATAGCTTAAAATCCTATCACTACAAAAATTTTAAGAGAGAGACTTGGAAAGACAACTCAAGTCTAAAAAGGAACTTACTAATAGAAATAGAAAATGCAAGATTAGAGGCAATGCTGTACAAAACAGAGAGACCATAGATGTTACCTGGATGGCACAGGCCTGGTACAGACGAGATGTTCTACTATACAGGGCTGGTCACGGCTCAGCTCCAGGAGGCTGTCTTTGTCTTCTTCATCTACAAACACAATACAACTGCCTGTAAGATTTCAGTACACGAACCAAGTAGGGGTCGTGTGGCGTGGCGGTAGCGTCTTCGGCTCGGAACCAATAGGTCCCGGGTTCGAACCTCACCCTGTCACCAATCTTGTGTCCTTGGGAAAGGCACTTTACACGACTTTCCTCACTTCACTCAGGTGTAAAATGAGTGCGTGTATCTAGCTTTGGTTAGGGACGTCCCTCGGATAGGACGTTAAATGGAGGTCCCGTGTTTGGGAGAGCCACACCCCAGGCACGTTAGACAATCCACCCCACTTATCGAAAAGAGAAGGGGACCTTCCCGGTGTGAGTGGTTCAAACCTTACAATCCAATCTTACGCAGCTTGTACTTACATGTACAAAACAGGTGTGTTATGCCTAAAGGCGATTTACTGATTATGGAAAACAAAAAAAAAAGTATGACTGACTGTTTCAAGCATCACAATACTCATCTACTCAGCAAAAGCAAAATACATGTACATGCCATGGATCATTGTATAAATTGTATGCATTGGTTAATAGCTTGAAAGACATTTTTGTACACTGTCAGAGTACTCAGCCAAACTGTTCTGAGATACAATTCTCAAACCATTCAACACACCTGACTGGGAAAAGCGATGAAGTTTGCTGATCCAGGGAAGAGCCACGCTGTGCACCCCCATCGCATGAGAGCAATGGTACCTTCCATCAGAACTGGGATCTGGCCAGAGAAAATGATCACAACATAAATTGCATTTTTTTAAATTGATTTTCAAAACTTTTCACTCAGTCCAGCTACCTTAATTTCGTAGAAACCCAATAATCATCTAATAAACTACAAGTAAAACTAGAAAGATAACATTTGCAAAGAAAATATATAATGTTTACCTTCACATGGTCTAGCCCAACAAACTACTGCTCTAGTTTACTAGTAATAGTAGTATATAGATTCTGAGTCATGCACATTGATACATATATATGGTGACCAGTCCCTCCAACTCATTGCCCTGCTAAAAAATGTGACCCAACACAACAGGGTGTCTGCCTCAGCACCAGTTACTATGGTGACAGACGTCTGGTCAAGGTCACTGACTGTATTTGTTTGGAGAAGAATAAGAAACTGAGCAAAAACAATGTTTTCCTTCTGCAAAGGTGAACATAATTAGAGCCACAGAAAAATGAATGTATCAGGAATTAAATAGGAATTAGCAATTGTCGGCAGAACGTACCAGCGTGAAACTTCCATTTTTCATGGTTTTCGTTAAATGTTTGGTCAACGTTGCATCAGAATTTTGCCTTTTGCAGACAACATTTTTTTCCGGACACAACATTTGGAAACATACAGACAGGCATATGTGCGAATACGACCTTATATGAGACGTTCTGCCGAAGTGCTATGCCACAATACATTCTGGTTTTTGCGCAGGCGCAGTGCGTTCTGCCAACTTGCTGAATAAGATAATTTTACCAGGGTGTAGCCTGATTGGGCAGTTGTCTGGTTGGTAGTCAGGGTAACTGTCTATGTCGTCTGGTGTTCCCCCCAGGGACAGCTCCAACTCCACACTCTCATACACGTACAGGGATGGCTCGGGCATGTCCAGGGCACTTCTGGTGCTCACATCACTACCTGCCCATGATACTTCAGACTATAGGGAGAAAAATTGGTAGTTATGAAGAAAATTACATTTATTTACAAATTCTTGTTACCTCTAGTCTGTGTACAAAGGTTTTGTTCGGTCAAAGGTCCCAGAAAAGGTTATCTCATTTCCTGTCTTCAATTTCCTGGCATATGCACGTCTGTTACCTTATGAAAGCCAGTGGAAAAATTCAACAGAATCAGCGAGAAATTCACATTTAGGAATAAACATGAAATTCACAAAAAATGTAATGGAGGTATGAGATATTTGATTTCTTGCAAGCTTTTCTGTTAATTTTGGACTTAGTATCACAGACACTATTTTTGTACAGTTAACCTTCTAAGATGTGACTTGGAGGAAAAATTCATGGGAATACCCTTCTGTCATCATCATCCTCTTCCTCCCCCTGCAGCACAATACAATGGTACAGTCTGCCAGTGGTGGTTGCTATGACGACCAGAGGTGGGTTGCATGGCAGACACAGGATGGAACAGGCATCGATGCCGTAGTTATCATCAGCAGGTGGGTGCATGGTTAGGGGGCCTTGGAGGCACACTTTTGGGCTGTCAAAATGAAGAGAATAATATTAACATTCTATGTAAAGGAGGGTTCACAAATGTAAGTTATTCTGAGTGGAAGTATTGTTTTGGGTTGCTGAGTTGTGGGTTTGTGTTTCTGTTTGTTATAATAGCTTCGGTTGCATGATGGGTGGGAGGTAATTTTGACAGTTGATTGATAGGGAGGCATATATGCAGATATGTATGCAGCACATGTCATATGGGAGTATGTGCACGGTATGTGGAAGAATTCAGGAAGTGGTATAATGCCCGAATTTATTACATTATACAATCACTTCACAGTTCCAGTACAACAGTTACAGTAAAAACAACCCAAAACTCTTCCCTGAGGTCTATGATAAGTTTGAATTTGAAGGACACACACGAAAACTGAAAATACTTCCAAAAGTCTGAAATCTACAATGTCTTGTTAGCAGTTGTATCAGCATGTCCAACTACTGCCTACCTTTTCTGTTCTAAACTTGTCAGTAAATAATACACATCCTCGTTTCCCCTGAGGACAAAGACTGGGTACATGGTTTCTGTCTTCTTGGCTTGGTCGCCCTTCCACTTCAACTTGTCATGCACGGGCACATCAACAGGGGGCGCAAATGTAAAGGAAACTGCAGTCTCTCCTAAAAAAACAACAAGAAAGTGAAAAATGAATATATGGTAAAGTTTGAAGGCACGCAAAATATCTCTGAAGACAATTCTTATTACAAATAGTGATTTTAACTAGCAGAGCTAGGTGAGTATAAATTCTTGGAAGTGACGTCCAAAAGATGATACACAAAACATAGAGCGTAGCCTGGGTACCATCCTATTTGTATGCTAATTTCCCATTTCTTAGGCCCTGGCATACAAATAGGATGGTACCCAGGCTACATACATGTAGAGCGAGCAATAAATTGTTGATTTGAATATATTTTCGTAGGGACTTACTAGTAATTTTGCAGTAAAGGGAAAAGGAGGTTTGCAGTGATTTAATGTTGTGGTTGAAACTAAATAATATTCTGTAGTACAGTAGTGATAGATTGGAAATGCATATTCGTGGTGTAGTGAAGAGGTCATCTACAGCGAACATTTCAAGATTTACAGAAGTGATCGGAATGACCTTGAATGACCTTACCCAGTGCTTGGTTGAAGGTGGCACTGCTGGAGGAGTGAAGAGAGAAACTGTCGGCAAACTCTCCCAGCTGGAAGGACTGGTACGGGCTGTCCGGCTTCTCTATGTCGTATATTCTGTCAGGATCACATGGGAAGAGAGATGATCACCTCCATGAAAAAAGGAAGTATTGTTTTGGGTCTGTCTGTTTGTTTGGGTTGTGTTTAATATTTATGTTTGCTTGTGTGTACATGTATGTGAAGTTCTGACAGCATGTGAGTTGGGTGGGGGAATTCCCTAACCACAGACAAAAGGTCAAACACAGGAAGTAAGGTCCCAGAGAAGCTGGCTGGGAGCCAGCAAGGAACTGCACAGATGCTATAGTCCCAGTGGGAAAATGCATATAGATGTAGAGACATAAATTCCAAACTAGAGAAGTAACATTTGCAAAGCAAATGCATAATGTTTACCTTCGGACATGGTCTGCCCTGTTAATTTTTACTCAAACATATTCACACACATGTACTACTAGTATATGTTGACAGAAGCAGAGCAGACCATGAAGTTTGCAACATTATGTAACCCAACACCAGTCACCATGGTGACAGACGTCAACAAATCATGTCATTGGCCAGGTCAGAGGTTAGTGTTTGGAGAATAAGAAGAGAAAATTGAGTAAAAACAATTTGTTTTCCTTCGGTAAACATAATAATGTATAAAACAAGAAAGTCACAAAAATTGTAAATATTTTACATAGGTGTGAAATCTCTGACTTCAAGTTTTTGTTAGGTTTGAGGACAAAAAGCTATGCTATATATATACATATATATCTCTTCCTTTCATTGATCTGTTTCTCAAATTGATTGGACATAATCTAGCAGTTCAGGACTTGTCTGGCCCACCTGAGTACATTGTCAGATGTGAGGATGACCAGATGTGTGTCTGATGGACTGCCTGGGTGCCAGTCTACCTGCAACAGCTGCAAGGAACTCTGGGTAGCAAACAACCTCTCTGCTACTGGATAAGACCTACATGACAGAAATCACATTCAAGTAGGAGTAAGACATTCCAAAGTCTCAACTTTCTGATATCATTTAAAGCTTTGTATGATAATGTTTTACAACATTAAACACTTACCCAGATCCAGAGTGCAAGACTTTGTCTTTTATGATATTTCAAAGAATAATCACTTGTACAGTCAAAAGTGCCCAAGAAGACCAGTACCTTTAGGCCACACCAATTCAATTTGTTGTTTCTCGGATTCGCCCTGTCCATTTTTTTCTGATTTGCAAAAAAAAATTATTTTTGTTCTAAATCAAGTGCAAAATGCTCAAGACATATTTTGGCCCCAACGGTTGAAGAAAGTCCTTTTCTTCCTAGTTGTTAAAGTTCTTCAATGTAACAATGCAACAATGCAATTTTGTTTCATTAACACTTCAAAATCTATTGTTTTAATTATAAACCAGCCTGGTATTTTCACTTTATATTGTAACATTTCCAGCTATCATGGGTGCCTTGGCCTGTTTTTTTTATTTTACCCTGTCGCTTCATATTTTTCCTGACAAAATCCGAGAAACAACAAATTAAATTGGTGTGGCTTTATGACAGAAATGCAAATTGTCTCCATACCTGCAGTTAACCTTGTCCTTGCCTCCCTCGAACTCAGCATGTTTTCCCCACCTCCTGGGGACCTCCATGACGCTGACTCCCCCACCCCCCCACAGGGCGATGTGGTTACCCGTGGGGTTGAACGTGACATGGTTCACCTCAGACAGGGGAGGGTCGGTACACAGGAGGGTCTGTATGGGGGAGGGCAAAACAGGATCATGGTCATTGATGATGACAGAAAAGTATGTACCCTTGTCATTTCTTTTTATTATTATTACTTTGTTTTATTGTATCCTTTTATGTGTGAGGAGAGGGCTGAGATAAGTTTTATAACTTTTTGCCTCATCCTCGGAAAATAAATGTGAATAAAATAAAATAAATAAAAGTCTGGGCAATCAAGCATTGAACAGTTTATAGAATCTAGACTAAAAGTAAAGGAATTAGAGTTCCATAACCAGTTCCAAAGTCTTAGATTCTTATAAAGTCTTAGTCTGCTATTCACCGGCAAGCATGATCTGGACACCAAGATTCATAATCATATGTTAATGCATTATTTATATGTATCTGTATCTGTATAGCAGGTACAACCACCCTTCGCCGTAACACACCAGCTTCGCAGGCATGTGGCGTGGCGGCAACTGGCTATATATTACACGTGCACTGATCGACTTGTTACATCTAACCCTAGACATTATGATGTCTATAAAAAGCCGATAGCACTTCTATTTGTGAACAAGAGCTATCTTCCATTAAATAGTATGCCCAGGAGACAGATATGATATGAAAAGTGGCAGTTCTGCTGCAGCACTATAGAGAGATGCCAGGGGGCAAACATTCATAGTTGTCCTTTCTTGCTCAGATCCATACACTACTTTTCAAGTTATGCTGGCCACAGACAAACCCAGATACGTAAAACACATGTTATTGTTACAAAATCTACGAGTATAAATATAATTTGGTCTATTATAGTACCCCCCCCCCCCAAAAAAGAACCAAAATCGTGAGCTCATTTACATAGACAATGTACTATTAAAGAATTCTAGCATAAACCACAAGAGGAAAATTATAGCTGCAATTAACGTCAAAGTTTAAGTTTCGCTTTCAGTCCGACCTGAAACTTCAGCGGTCGTTTTCCAACTTCGTCCTCATCTTGTAGCAGAGTCTTCAAGTTCGCTGTCCCCAGGTTCGAGCCTCGTCCGTTCCAGACAAAGATGTCCCCGTCCTGAACTACCACCAGACTTCTAGCTTCTGCTCTGTTTGATTTTGAATCGTCCTCTCCTTGTCTGAGATGCAGAAACAACGGATGATTGTTGAGTTCACTTCGCCACGATTTTGGGTCCGAGGCCGCCATTTTGCCGTTTGATTTTTTGTGTGACCTGCGCAGATGAAAGCGGGGGAAACTATTCGCTGTGTGGGGGTGTTCAGCGTTCAGTCTTGGTGCAGTTTGCCATGAAACTGCTAGAGGTCGCCTTTGATCCATGCACCTTGGTAAGGGTTAGGGATTAGGGTTGGGGTTAGGGTTAGTCGCCTTGTAACTCGTAAGTTACATGCTGTTACATGTATGAGTGGGGCGTGTAACGGCAAAGTATTCTTAGGCCTTGGCAACAGATCAGTGACATGGCGGGATTCGAACTCGGGACCTCTTGGTTCCGAGCCGTTACAATCTATATCCTTGTACCTGCCTTGGGAAAGGCACTTGGCACGACTTTCCTCACCTCACTCAGGTGAAAAGGAGGATGCCAGAATGATCAATATCATGATCGTGGGCACCAAAACCCAAGACTTATGTGGAATAATACATCCATTGTTTCACTGCTGTAGCTACTAAAAAAATATTACAGCTGGTTATATAGTCTAGTACATTCTACCTGTAAGCTTCTATCTCTGACCTCCACACAAATTCAAGATATAGTTTTCTGTAAAAAAAAAAAACGTGTTTAAAAAAAACGTAAAAAATGGCATGGTTTTGCATGGTCAGTATTTTACCGTTCAAACGTTGGTACTTTGAATATTGCTGTAGTAAAGTCGATATGCTTCGAATAATCCAAAGGTTACGGGTACAAGATAATTATTGATACGTTGTTGCAATAAATATGCATTGATCAACGTGGTATTATCAGCAGACAATCAAGAATTCTTCGGCAAACTTCAATGAGTTGACTACGCAGTCTAAAACATTATCATTAATGTTACTTCTCTGTATATTCTCTATCGAATGGTGAACAATGATAGTTTCTGTAAACAACTCTGTGTGCTATAAGTTAAAAGTTACACGTCAGTCCACTTTCCACCGAGTCGACGTCAATATTTGTGATCTAAACAACCTAATCAAAAGTCAGCAAAATCAACATTTTCTTGAGTACATGTTTATTCATGTGTTTTATGATTACCTTATTGTAAAAAAAGGCGTCACGATTTCTTAAATCTATTCATTTATTTTAAAATCCAAGCTTTATTATAAAAGGGGCTTTTCTAGACTGTCTGCACGCAGAGAGCGGGGCTGGGGCCCGGCTGCAATGCTGCTGTATTCCGGTGCCTCTCAGTGACACTCGATAGTCTACTCGGTGATACAAGCCGCTGAAGGTAAGGGGATGATCTTGTTGAACACACCGACTAGTAGGTCTTCCTGGTGTTACACACAAGAACATAATAGAGAGTACAATAAATGGAGACCGGAAAGGGACAACATTGCATGATTTTGATGCAGAGGAAAAGACAGGAGTGTCTAGTCCACAGATGGGCACAGTTGGTAAATACCATTCTGAAGTTTGTTATGGTCCACAGATATGTGCCAGTGTGAGTGTGTGTGGATGGATGAATGGATGGCTATGGATGGGCGATGTTCAGCACCAAGGACAGGTAGGTTTACATGTGTTATTTATGTGTTTATGTGTTGCGGATGGATGGGCATGACAAAGTTCAGCACCAAGGACAGGTCTGTTTTCCCCTGTGCAAATGTGTTTTCACGTGTGTGTTGGTGTGTACTAATACTAGCTGTGAATGTGTGTGTATGTGCGTGCTTTGTGTTCCGCCTGACTCTTCCACCTGAGTTAATACTACGGTAGGTTTTAGTCCACACGCTGACTCAGCGTTTCTATATCCAGTCATGGCGTCTGTGACCAACAACGACACCAGTACCAATATCTACGAAACGATGCCTGACTCGATGCCTGACCCGCTGGCTCACCGTCGTCCTCCCGATGTTCCACCGCCGACTAAGGCAGCAAACATAGAGGAGAAAACGAGTAAGCGTGAGTACGGTTTCATCAAAGCTTTCCGAAAGAAACTGGGGTATGTGGGCTTGGCGTTTTTGGCCTGCATCCCCATTGTTTATCTCGCCCTAGCCTTCAGTACTGGGCAGAGTGACCACCACATTGTACCCGAATTTGGCAACCTCCCAAACCGTTCGGCGCTGATATGGAAAACCTGGGTTAAAAGCTTCCTGGCCCGCGAAGCACGTCCTCATGGACACATACCGACGACTACTACTAGCCCATTCGGTGGCATCACAACAAATCTACCGTACACCTCCAAGAAGCAAGACCTCGACTTCTCGATCATGCCTGTGACCGTGAACATAACAGCAATGCCCGACATCCAAACAGAAGAACCAGACTACCCCACCACATTCACCGCAACCAGAGGGCAAAATTCCACGGCCATGCCGCGGGGAACCGTTGCAAACGACCGGCGGCTGCCGTCCGTTAGCGCACCGCTGCTACCAGCGATGGAGCCGACTGGAGTCACAACAGTTCCCCGGGCAACTCCGCCAGCAGAGCTGCAGACCACTCGCTCTAAGCCACCGATTGACGTTACAATGATGTCAACTTCTGACACAAGTGAGAAGCAACATCTCTTCTCTCAGAAAACGTCTGCAACTCCAAAAACACAGATGGTAACAGCAACGCTGAAATCTGGGATGCACACAGAAGACCTGGCTCGTACGGTGAAGTACAACTCCACCAAAGGGAGCTATCCAAAGGCTATGGCACAGGGAGTTGGAACTGTCACAGACTACCGACACCCTCGCCCCACTGTTCCCTCAGTACATCACTCTACTAGCTCCAGTGAGCAGTCAGATGTGTCTCCGACTCCGAAATCAACGAATACGACAACAGCGCCAATATCGGAAGGGCCGGCCCGCATACCCAACTTCACCACGGTCGCCCAGAGATCAGGGCGCTATCCTCCGGCTATGGTACAGGGAGCTTTTACCGATTCCCAACAGCCGCCACGTGTACCCAGTACTGCACCGCTACCACCAGAGATGGAGACGCCTAGAGTCGTAACAGGTCCCCGGGCTCTCTCGAAGGTGACACCGCCAGCAGAGCTACAGGCCACTCGCTCTAAACCACCCACTGCCGTTACAATGATGTCAACTACCGACATAAGTGAGAAGCAACATCTCTTCTCTCAGAAAACTTCTGCGACTCCGAAAACACTGAAAGTAACAACAACGCCGATATCTGGTATGAACAAAGAAGACCCGGCTCGTACGGTGAAGTACAACTCCACCAAAGGGAGCTATCCAAAGGCTACGGCAGAGGGACCTGGAACTGTCACAGACTACCGACACCCTCGCCCCACTGTTCCCTCAGTACATCCCTCTACTAGCTCCAGTGAGCAGTCAGATGTTCCTCCGACTCCGAAATCACCGAATACAACAACAGCGCCGATATCGGAAGGCCCGGTCCGCATACCCAACAACTACACGACGGTCGCCCAGACTACAGGCCGCTATCCTCCTGCTATGGCACAGGGATCTTTTACCTACTCCCGACAGCCGCCACGTGTACCCAGTACTGTACCGTTCCCACCAGAGATGGAGACGCCTAGAGTCATAACAGGTCCCCGGGCTTTCTCGAAGACAACGCCGCCAGCAGAGCTACAGACCACTCGCTCTAAACCACCCACTGCCGTTACAATGATGTCAACTACTGGCGGTGGAACGCAACAACTCGACTCTCAGAAATCGTTTGCGACTCCGAAAACACCGAACGCAACAACAACGCCGATATCTGGTATGCACACAGAAGACCCGGCTCGTACGGTGAAGTACAACTCCACCAAAGGGAGCTATCCAAAGGTTACGGGACAGGGAGCTGTAAGTTCTAATAACTTTCGACACCCACTCCCAGAATCACCCACTGTTTCCTCGATGCACATATCTACTAATTCTTGGGAGCTGTCACATGTGTCTACGACTCCGAAATCACCGAATACGACAATAGCACCTATATCGGAAGGGCCGGACCGCATACCCAACGACGTCACCACGGTCACCCAGACATCAGGGCGCTATCCTCCGGCTATGGTACAGGGAGCTTTTACCTACTCCCGACAGCTGCCACGAGCACCCATCACCACAATGCTAACATCAGAGATGGAGCAGCCTAAAGTCGAAACGAGTCCCCGTGCTTTCGCCGAGACACTGTCACCGGTCGTGCTCCCGATCCCTCTCCCCAAACCACCCACTGTTCCCGACTCAATCCTTCCATCTAGCGGCTTGAGTGAGGATTCACATATCCCCTACCAGACCCCTGGCTTATCACAGACAACGGCAATTCAGATGACTGATGTCCACACAGAAGACTCGACTCCTTTGCCCAAAGACAACAAGGCAAGGCGCGAGCCCCCGACCTTGGTGTATGAAGCTGTTACGGCCAAACTACAAATGACTACCGCGCGGCTACAGTCAGAGAATGGAGATGGTGTATCTGAATTCCCACCCTGGACCCATAAACAACCTGTTTTGTCAACTCAGCAGTCGGACGGCCCGGACTTTGAATTAAAGCCACCCAATACAACTGCTTCCACCCCAAAAAGAGTTGTCGAAGGAGGAGAGAATTGCTCACAGCATGGTTGTTTTCCCGGGCCTTCAGTTTGGCCTACGGTGGTACCGACTCAGACGTTGGCCGGCATAGCAGATCTCCCGAACTCGCCCAAGATGTTGTCACCACCAGTCACCCTCTCAACGACTCCATCTGATGGCTCAAGTGACCAGCAACATTTTGAATCCGAGACGACGCCTTTGGCTTCGAATCCACCGACGACAACTAGGGCAATGCCTAGAAGTACCTTCCGTAAAACCATTCTCACAACAACGAAGATTGCTGGAAACTATCCTTCTTATAAGGGCCAGGCCGTTACACACAGGCAACAGATACAGAGCAAAACCTCAACCTTTATTGATCCAAAGCTGGCGACTCAGCTACCTGAGATTACGAACGACTTGGGGCTTGTCTCTGATCAACCGAAGGGAACTATGGCTCCGACAATAACAAGTGAACGCCCTCTCTCCACTGTAACATCACATACTTCGGAACAGCAGGTCAAGCGACGGGAGGGTGGTAAAAGATCTGGTTCGAATGGGGAGGGTGAAACCAAAGCCGACAGTAGAAAGACTATCCGTGGACGTAAAAGAAAGACTACCCGTGCACATAAAAGTGACAATAAGACTAGTCAAGCTCGACGTGGATCACATGGACATGGTAGACATTACGGAACCGTACGCCTCTCACATAGGCGCGGCCGTGGTGGTCACTCAGCCAAGCCGTCATCGAACAGACGTCAATCCCCCTACGGAAAGAAATCTGGCAGCGCTACCAATAGGTTTCGTCCTACATATGTCAGTGGCGGCAAGTCAGGGAAAAGCAACCTAAAAGTCACAAGCAAGGCTACAAGTGGATCTGCCAAATCTTCGTCCTCTGGACGCTTTTTACAAGGTCGTGGCAGCAGCTATGGTATCCGACGGTCGCAAACACATGGTCTGAGAGGTAGAGGTTACAGTGGACGGTATAACCCGGTCTACCCTGGGCGTCAGTCTCAAGGTAAAAGCTACATAAGGGGAAGATCCCGCAAGCAGTATTCATCCGGACGCCGATATCCAGATGACAAAAGAGTAGGCGGTAAGGAGAGGGCCGGCAATGGGTATGGACACCTTTCTTCTACCCATAAAGGTTATCATTCAAACCTCGCCCCAGGACGTCCGACTCAAGAACAATACAACAGAGGCTCCAATAACCACTACTCGCAAGGCCGCTTTGCTGGGTACGGACACGGGTACAGCGACAGGGGCCAGACCGTTAAACACAGCCAACAGATACAGACCAAAACCTCAACCTTCATTGATCCTAACCCGGAGACTCAGTTACCTGAGATCACGAATAACACGGGGCTTGTCCTTGAGCAACCAAACGAGACCATAGCTCTCACACATGACCGCCTTCCCTCCACTGTAACATCACATACTTCCGAACAGCCGGACAAGCGACGGAAGGGTGGCAGAAGATCTGGCATGAAAAAGAAGGATAAAACCAAAGGCGACAGTAGATTCAGATCAACCAGCAATGGACGTAAAAGTGATGGCAGTAGGAGTCAAGCTCTCTGCTCAAGAGTACACGGTATCGTACATCTGTCAAAGAGGTTCGGGTGTGGAGGTCACACCGCCAAATCCTCATCGAAGGGACATCATTCCCCCTACGGAAAGAAATCTGGCAGAGCCATCCTCAGGAATCCTTCAGCTCGCTTTCGTCCTACATATTTCAGAGGCGGCAAGTCAGGGAAGAGCCAAAAATCCACAAGCAAGGCTACAGGTGGATCTGCCGAAGCTTCGTCCTCTGGACGCTTTTCACAAGGTCGTGGGAGCAAACACAGCAGCAGAAACAATTTATCTCGTCGTAAATTTTCCAGTGGTGGCACATCGGGGAAGAGCAATGTGAAAGAAACAAGCAAGAGTACACGTGGGTCTCCTCAGTATACTTACCCTGGGCGCTTTCCAAAAGGTCGCGGGAGCGAACACAACAGCCGTGACGGAACGACTGGTGACGACGGACGTCAGTCACCCTACAGACAGAAATCTGGCAGCGCTATCAGCAGGAATCCTTCAGCTCGCTTTCGTCCTACATTTTTCAGAGGCGGCAAGTCAGGACAGAGCAATCTAAAATCCACAAGCAAGTCTACAAGAGGATCAACCGAATCTCCGTCCTCTGGACGCTTTTCACAAAATCGTGGGAGCAAACACAGGAGCGGAAAGAATTTATTTCGTCCTAAATTTCTCAGTGGCGGCACATCGGGAAAGAGCAATGTGAAAGATACAAGCAAGAGTGCAGGTGGATCGGCCTACCCTGGACGCTATCCACAAGGTCGCGGGACCGGGAGCGAACGCAACAACCGTGGTGGAACGACTTGGTCTAAATTTGTTCCTAACCATGGTGTCCGAGGGTCGCAAACACATGGTCTGAGAGGTAAAGGTACCAGTGGACGGTATAACTCAATCTACCCTGGACGTCAGTCTCAAGGTAACAGCGACCACAGAGGAAGCTACCGTAAGCAGTATTCATCCGGACGCCGATATCCAGATGACAAAAAAGTAGGCGGTAAGGAGAGGGCCGATGATGGGCGTGGACACCTTTCTGCCACCCATACAGGTTATCAGTCCAACCTAGCCTCAGGACGCGGAGCTGGACAGAGTGAAAGTGGCGCATCTGGCCCAAAGACGTTTCGACGTCCGTCTCAAGGATATGGCCACAGAGGCTCCTATAACCAGCACTACGGGCACGGGTACAGCGGCAGGGGGAAAGATAGCTTGCGCGCGGGTTCTCCCAAGCGGCGTCGACCGCCCGCAAGTGGTTCGAGAAACAAAGGCAGTAGAAGTGTTTCCGGTTGGTTCAAAAAGACATTTGGCTAAAAGAGATCTAGATGAATGAAACATTCCAAAAATTCTGATCTTTAAGCATAAAGATGAATTATTCCCGTAAAGTGAAGAAACAGAACCTTTACGCATACTTAAAGGTGTGTTTAAAGATCAAATTTCATGTTGTGCAATGCTTTGCCTGAATCTGTCTAGTAGACCAAGAGGTCCAGTAGCCAAATGGATCAGACTGTAATATAAAAAAAATAAGACTCCAATGGGATCCTTCTTTCACCCACGTAGGTGGCAAACTAGCGGTTTGGGAGGCAACTGGTTCTCTTAAATCTCTTTTTTAATTTTTAGGACCTTAGATGAAACAAAGGTAGTAGTAGTAGAAAGTTTTACATGGTCCTGACTCCAGTACCCACGTGTTTGTGTTTGAGAAAACGTCAACAACATACAACTTATTGTAAATTCTTTTTACATAGCAAAAAAATGGAATTGCATTGAGGAATATAATGACAAACAAACCCATGACTCGGCCACCCAAAACAATACTTCTGTACCCGGAAGTAATGACACAGAACTGTTCCAAATCAGCATCTTATTGCCATCAGGAATAATCAAGAAATTAAACTAAATAAAAAGACTCTGTTTCACCCCATGAACATACACGTGTCACACAAAAACAACGAACATTTATTACCATAAAACATGGATCAACAAATCTGTTTTATTGCATTTGCTCATCACAGATGTGTTTGTGATTTATTGGTCGAGAGAGCCTGGAGGCTGGTGTTGGAAAACAAAATCCAATTTGCCAGAACATTTTACAACTTTGCCTGAACAATGATCAAAGCATGAAAATATGTTGTAAACAGAACGTAGCAATTGAAAAATTGTGATTAAGTTTTTGTTTTCTAAACAGACAAATTTGCACGCATATACATAACAGAGTGTTTGTAGCAAATTTTAACTGTTTTTGATTGACAGTTTATTAATTAGACAGTCTATCTGTTTATCATTTTGGTGGTGGTAGCTTTATGAATATAGTAGTATTATGTACTAAAATATCTTCGGACCTTATAATATTTAGTTTTAAACAAAAAGGAAGTACATCATGAAAACATCCAGTGAAACATACAAAAAAACATACAGTGAAAATATTTTCGGTGTCTTTAAAACCGAGGCTATAGAGGAATCTTGAATAGAGAATTTGAATTGTATAAAACAGAATTTTAACACTTATTGTTTTTAAGAATTCATTGAGCAGCCTTTTCCTCAGAAAAAGAAGACAGACTGTACATGTATGTATTATTTCACTTTGCCCGACCTTTGAATTACTTTTCTATTGATCAGAACTTTCTTGATTTTTGCGAAATGTCGAAAAAGGTTAACCTTGCGTAGGTGGTACGAATGTAGCAAACTTAGTGGAAAAAATACATTTGATGTCATGATTATGAGATTTCAAAGGTCTTAAAGAAAATTGTCAGACAGTGAATGAAGTCACGTATTCAGTGGGCGTATGAGAGAAAACAACTAACATTACCGCACACCCACGCCGGTTTACGTGGGTTAATCTACCGTCTGGAATGTGTGACACAACCCGTGATGGTCTAAGGACAGCTACGGGACATCTCCCGGTGTACCAAACGAGGGTGGCCTCAAATGTACATATGTCATATAAGTCAACGTACATGCCAAATAACTGTGCATAATGTGATGTAACAAGCAACAAGTGAACAATATAGATTATGAAGATTTTGACGAGAAATATGAGAATCCATTTCAAACTGAACTATTCCGACGATTTAATGGGAGTAAAGATGATCCCCTATACTAGTCTTCAGAAGACTAGAAATTGGTCAAATAGACAGATAACATACCAGGGGAGTTGGGCGACAAACTTTACTCCTGCAGAAGACGAACTCCCCTGGCATGTTATCTGTCTATGTGACCAATTTCTAGTCTTCCCAGCCTTTTCTGAAGCCTGGTAGGGGATAATCTTTACTCCTGTTAAATCATCGGAATAGTTCAATTTGAAATGATTTCTCATATTTGTCGTCATAATCTTCATGAAATATATTGTTCACTTGTTGCTTGTTACATCACATTATGCACATTTATTTGGCATGTGCGTTACTTATATCAACATTTATGTAATGATATTATAATCAGCAACAAAAAGGAATGCAGAGTAGCCTTTAAAAATGCCCAAAATTTCAAGTTTTGTTGCCAGTGTAGACACTTTAGTTGTGTAAAAAAAGGAACCACAGCTATGTGGTAATTGTTGCACAGGATAAAATGTTAGTAAATATATTTTAAAGTGTCACTCGATTTTGCCAAGGTCATCAATGAAACCACATGTGTTTTTAATAGAATCAGCTGCACGCATGTTGATGTCTTTGAGTATTTCTTTTACCATCAAAGAGATAGATGAGATTATATGTGAAAGAAATTCTGTTAAAGCATGAGACTGATTTGAAACGCAGAGTGTGTGAAGCTCCATGCATGACACTTTCATTTAGACATAAGTGAAGTACTTATGCTAAACAGAAGGGTATAAGAGAAGGCACAATAAATTGCGACTGGAAAGGTCGAAATTGCACGGAGGACCTAGTGCCCAGTGCACACATGGGCACAGCGATGAACTCCGTACAAAGGTTTGTTATGGTTCGCCAATATGTACCAGTGTGTGAGCGTTTGGATGAATAAATGAATGGATAGATGGGCGATGTTCAGCACCAAGGACAGGTAGGTTTACATACGGTGTTTGTGTGTTTATATGTGTTTGTGCCGCGCGGATGGATGGACATGACGAAGTTCAGCACCAAGGACAGGTCTGTTTTCCCTGTGTGAATGTGTTGATGTGTGTTAGCACTTGCTTTTAATGTATAAAGTTAAAACTTTTGGTCCAACACAAAAAATTCTCTCACCTAGAGCTTTCGACCAGTCACTCTGGTCTTCCTAAGTAGCTTTTAAAGTATGTGCACGTGCGTATGCTTGTGTGTGCATGCGTCCCTGCGTGTACGTGTGCGCTCTAACTCCCTCACCTAAGTTGATATCACGTCAGTTTTAGCCCACATGCCCGCTGACTCAGCGTTTATGATCTTCAGTCATGGCGACTGCGACCAACAACGGCGCCCATGACAGTGTCTACGCCACGATTTCTGACTCGGCCTTCGACCCGCTGGCTCGCTGTCGTCCTCCCGATGTTCAAGCGCCGACTAAGCCAGCAAACATCAAGAAGAAAGCACGTAAGTATGCGTACCGGATCTCCAAAGCTTTCCGAAAGAAACTGCCCATGTATGTCGGCTCGGCGTTGTTGGCCTGCATCCCCGTTGTCATTCTCGTCCTAGTCTTCAGTACTGGGCAGAGTCACCACTACATTGTACCCGAATTTGGCTACCTTCCAAACCGTTCGGCGCTGATATGGAAAACCTGGGGAAAAAGCTTTCCGACCCTCGAAGCACACGGACAGATACCGATGACTACCGAAGAACCAGGCTACCCCACCACATCCACCGCAAACAGTGAGCGCTATTTTACGGCCATGGTGCGGGGAACCGTTGCAAACAACCGGCGGCTGCCGTCCGTTAGCGTAACGCTGCTACCAGCGATGGAGCCGACTGGAGTCACAACAGGTCCCCAGGCTTTCTCCAAGGCAACGCCGCCAGCAGAGCTGCAGACCACTCGCTCTAAACCACCCGCTGCCGTTACAATGATGCCAACTACCGACACAAATGAGAAGCAACATCTCTTCTCTAAGAAAACACCTGCGACTCCGAAAATACTGAACGCAACCAGTACTGCACCGTTACCCTCAGAGATGGAGATGCCTAGAGTCACAACAGGTCCCCGGGCTTTCTCCAAGGCAACGACGCAAGCAGAGCTGCAGACCACTCGCTCTAAACCACCAAGAGCCAATAAAATGATGTCAACTACTGACACAAGTGAGAATCATAATCTCTCCTCTCCGAAAACATCTGAAACACAGAAAGTAACAGCAAGGGCGATATCTGGTATGCACACAGAAGACCTGGCTCGTAGGGTGAGGTATAACTCCTTCAAAGGGCGCTATCCAAAGGCTACGGGACAGGGAGCTGGAACTGTCACAGACTACCGACACCCTCGCCCCACTGTTCCCTCAGTACATCCCTCTACTAACTTCAGTGATGTGCCTTCGACTCCGAAATCACCAAATACGACAGCAGCGCCAATATCGGAAGACCCGGCAGGCATACCCAACAACTTCACCACGGTCACCCAGACTACAGGGCGCTATCCTCCGGCTATGGTACAGGGAGCTTTAACCGATTCCCAACAGCTGCCACGATCGCTACCACCAGAGACAGAGCCACTTACAGTCGTAACAGGTTCCCGGGCTTTCGCCGAGACATCGTCACCGGTCGTGCTGTCGGTCCCTCGCCCCAAACCTACCAAAGTCCCCCGCCCAATCCTGCCATCTAGCGGCTGGAGTAAGGAATCACTCTACCAGACGCCTGGATTGTCGCAGACAGCGACAAGTCCAATGCCTGATGTCCACACAGAAGACTCGACTTCTTTTCCCAAAAGCAACAAGGCTAGGCGCGATCCCCCGACCATGGTGTATGAAGCTGTTACGGCCAAATCAAAAATGACTACCGACAACAGCGCACGGCTACCGTCAGAGACTGGAGATTATGTATCTGAACTCCCAACTTGGACCCATAAACAACCTGCTTCGTCGATTCAGCAGCCACCTGCGATTTCGGACGGACCAGACCTTGATCTAAAGCCACCAAATACAACTGCTGCCAGCCCGAGAATTGTTGAGGGAGGAGGCAATTGCTCACAGCATGGTTGTTTGCCGGGGCATACGGTGTTACCGACTCAGACGCTGGCTGAAAAAACAGATCCCCCGAACTCACCCAAGATGCACCCAATTCTGTCGACCCTTCGACCCGAACAGCCAGTCGCCCTCTCAACGACTCCATCAAATGCATATGACTCGAGTGTTGACCCCCAGACGACGTCTTTGGCTCCGAACCCCCGGACAACAGTTAGGGCAATGCCTGGCATACATGCAAGAAATACCACCAACAAAAACATTTCCACAACCATAAAGACCATGGGACACTATCCTCCGTATAAGGGCCAGGCCGTTACACTCACCCAACAAATGCAGACCGACACCCCAACCTTCAGAAATATTGCGCTGGCGACTCAGCTTCCTGAGAGTACTAACGGCTCAGGCTCTGAGCAACCAAACGGAACTATGGCGCCCACATATGACCGCCCCCATCGGAAATGGGGTCGACCGCCACACGACGACCCCATTTTCGAACAACCGGACATGGGACGGAACAATGGCAAAAGATCTGGCTCGAATGGAGAGGATGAAACCAAAGCCAACAGTAGAAAGACTCCCCGTGGAGGTAAAGGAAGGAATACCCCTGGACGTAAAAGAAAGACTACCCGTGGACGTAAAAGTGACAAAAAGACTAGTCAAGCTCGAAGTGGGTCACATAGACATGGTAGAAATTACGGAACCGGTACCGCACACGTCTCAAATGGGCGTGGTCGTCACGTGCACTCCGCCAAGCCGTTACCGAACGGACGCACCGGACGTCAGCCCCCCTACAGAAAGACATCTGGCAGCGCTCCCAACAGGAATCCTTCAGCTCGCTATCGTCGTAAATATCGCAGAGGCGGCAAGTCAGGGCAGAGCACAAGCAAGGCGAAAAGTGGATCGACCGAATCTTCCTCCCCTAAACGCTTTCCACATGGCTGCGGGACCAAAAAAGCAACAGAAAAGAGCAGCAGAAAGAGTCCATTTCGTCCTAAATTTCCCAGTGGTGGCACTTCGGGGAAGAGCAATGTGAAAAGTACAAGCAAGGGCACAGGTGGATCGGCCAAATCTTCCTCCTCTGGACGCTTTTCACAAGATCGTTGGAGCAAACACACCGGCAAAAAGAATTCACTTCATCCTAAATTTACCAGCAGCCGCACTTCGGGGAAGAACCATGTGAAAAGTACAAGCAAGGGCACACGTTGGCCGGCTCAGTCTGCCTCCTCTGGACGCTATCCAAAAGGTCATCTCTGCAGAGTACGCAACAACTGTGGCCGAACGACTGGGTCTAAATTTGGTCCTGACTATGTCCGTCAGTCGCAAACGCATGGTTTGAGTGCTAGAAGAACCAGTGGACGGCATAACTCTGTCTACCCCGGACGTCAGCCTCAAGTTAAAAGCGACCATAGGGGTAGCCCCTACAAGCAGATTTCAGACGGACACCAATTTCGGAGTGTCAACAAAGTAGGCGGTATGGGAAGAGCCGGTGACGGGCGTGGACACCTTTCTGCCACCCATACAGGTTATCAGTCCAACCTCGCCTCAGGACGCGGAGCTGGACAGAGTGGAAGCGCATCTGGCCCAAACACGTTTCGACGTCCGTCTCAAGGATATCACCCCAGGGACTATTTTCAGCACTACGGGCACGGGTACAGCGGCAGGGGGAAAGATAGCTGGCGCGCGGGTTCTCCCAAGTGGCGTCGGCCGCCCGCAAGTAGGTCGAGAAACCAAGGCAGTAGAAGTTTTTCCCGTTGGTTTGTATGAATGAGAAGAACTAAACACTGAACAAATTCTGATCTTTAAGCATAAAGATGAATTTTTCCAGGAGGGTGAAGAAACAGAACCTTTACACATACTCAAAGGTGTGTTTAAAGATAGAATTTCATGCAGTGCAATGCTTTGCTTGAATCTGTCTACTATTATAAAGGCACCAGTAGACCAAGAGGTCCAGTAGAAAAATGGAGCAGAATGTACTATAAAGATAATCTCCAAGCAGATCCCTTAGCATTCGGTGGCAAGACAGTATCCATTGCTAATGGATACTGTCTTGTCACCAAAAGGGATCTGCTTGGAGATTACCACAAAGACTCCAATGGGATCCTTCTTTCACCCACGTAGTTGGTAAACTAGCGGTTGGGAGACACTGAAAAGAACAACTGGTAATCCCTTAAATGGCTGTTTTTAATTTTTAGGACCTCAGTCGAAACAAAAGTGTACCCAAGTGTCTGTACATGTGTTTGAGACAACGTCAACAACATACAATTTGTTGTAAATTCTTTTTACATGTCAAAAAATGGGGATAACATCGAGGGATATAATGACACCCAAACCCACAGCTCAGAGACCCAAAACAATACTTCTGTACCCGGAAGTAATGACACAGAACTGTCCAACTGACCTCAGTCAACACAAAAGTAGCAGTAGAATATAACATACCCAAGTGTCTTTTTACATGACAAACCATGGGGATAACATCGAAGAATATAATGACACCCAAACCCACAGCTCATCCACCCAAAACAATACTTCTGTACCCGGAAGTAATGACACAATACTGTTGAAAATCATTGCACCACATTGCCATCAGTCATAATAAAGAAAAGTAAATAAAAAGACTAGCTGTTTCACCCCCAGAATATACACATTGTACACAAAATAATATGTTACCACAAAACATGGATCAACAAACCTTTTTTATTGCATTTGCACACCACAGAAGTGTTTGTAATTCATTGGTCTGGAAGGCCTGCTGGTGAAAAAACATAATCCAATTTGCCAGAACATTTTACAAATTTGTCTGAACAATGATCTAAGCATGAAAATACGTTGTAAGCAGAACGTAGCAATTTAGAAATTGTGATTATTTTTTTTTCTAAACAGACACAATTGTACGCATTCATAACAGAGAGTTTTTGTAGCAAATTTTATACCAGTTTTTGATTGACAGTTTAGACTTGTCTTTCTGTTCATCATTTTGGTGTTGGTAGCTTTATGAAGAGTAGTATTACGTGCTAAGATATTTTTGGAGTTTTTAAAATTTAGTTTTAAACAAAATTAAAAGAGAAAGTACATTATGCAAGCATACAGGAAAAATATACAAGGAAACATACAGGGAAAACATACTAGAGAAACGTCGATGAAGGTTAGACAGCCAGGTAATAAGATACGCCAAAAAGCAGTTACTCAAGCAACTGGATATGATTTTGGAAACGGTCAGACGTTTTAGCTAGTATCCACTAGCTTTCGTCAGTGACTGAGAGACCAGAGGAGAAATGCAGATTTATAAGCAC